GGTTCAAGATATCCAAGATTACTTCGAAAAAGAAAGGCTGACAATGGAATGGAAACATGAAAGTGAATTTCTTTTGCGAAAATGAACGGGAGGAACGGCAGGCCACAGGCCATTGGACAGACTGAACCGATCCATGGCACATAGTCGTACAATCGTTACAGATTCAGAGCTGTTTTATTCTCAGCAGAAGCATGCCTCCACTGGCCTTAAAATTCGATTACCCTCTGCAAGAGTATAAGTATTGAAATGCCTGCAAGCAGCAACAGCAAATAATTCACTCGGACAGGCACTCTCATGTTTGAAACGTTTTCAAAACTGACTCTGATTGAAATATGTATGCATTTTTGAAATAGTTTTGCAAAACGACGAGTGACACAGAAACAGAAACCGAAACAGAAACAGTGAGAAAAGATACTATGGTATAAACAGAAAAAACAATGCGAATAGGAGGGAAATGGCGAAAATGAAAAACAGCAACAAATCAGCTGCTTCTTCGCTATCCACCTCATCCTCATCCCCATCTCTTCTCTTCATCCACCTCTTCTTCAGTTTTTCAGTTTTTTTTTTTTTTTTTTTTTTTTTTTGCTTATTTCGGACCCGGCTCACGGTTTCACTTGAAGCGCGTGAAAGTTGCGCTCTTTACCACCGCCGAAACGACAAATGAGCAACATGGAAAAAAATTCAAACAAAAAGCACACCAAAGAGGAGCCATCAGAAGGTGGCCCGAAAGGCCAGGCCCATCCAACGGCTCACGACTAACGGCCCAGGGCCCGGCCAAAAAACAAACCAACAACAAACATGCACACAAAATAATATCAAACAAAAATAAAATCCACAGAAGAGCACATCGTATACGCACTTTTTGTTGTAAGTATTTCTCATTTCACGCCTGCCACAAAATGTTGCGCAAAGAGCAAACCGAGAGATTTTGTTGCTGTATTTATGACTTTTTCCTCTCTTTTTTATTTTTATTTTATTTTTTTTTTTTTTGGCAGCACTGCAGTTATTTTTGGTGCATTCACGTAACGGGACTTTAAATGCGATACCAGAGGAAAGGAAAAGCGCGAACCGAACTTTGAGGCATCGCTGCTGAAGATAGACTGAAAAGCTGGGCTCCAAATCCCATCCCCACCAATAAACAAGACGCGGTCGAAGCCAGCCGAAGAGCACCGAAGCCGAAGCCGAAGCAAGAGCCGAACGCATGAAAACGATCGCACGTAGAGGCACGACTACAGGGCAAATCGATCTGCTCTGAGAATAATTCAGTTTTATGTTTACAAGGTGAGGCTATCCTAGAGAGCGGCCTCTTTTGGAGTGGAATAATAACCGATTCATCGTGCTCTCCGTGGCTCTCTTTGGGGCTGGTGTTTTTGCGGATCTGCTTTCCAACAGAAGACGCTCCATGGATGGCGCTACCTATTATTTAATATACCTTGACCTTGGAGCCAAGCTGTGTTTCTGTACTCCCTATACTCCGGAGAAGAATGAACTGTCATAAGAGCGTTCTCTGGAAATGCACCAATGAAGTGAGAGTATTTTGTGGTTCGTACAAAAAGCTTACCGTCTTATCGAGCACAAGCTTAAAGCTTATCAGAAAATCAGCTAACAGCGGACAATAGTGTGTGGAGTACACTGTTTATGGTTTGATTTAATTACTAAGTACGATTAAAACGATTCTGCGATTTCAAAGCATACAGATGTTTCGGGCTTATTATACGCGACAAGCCTTTACTGCTTTACTCTCCTTCACTCTCCTGCTCAATGTCTCTCCAGGCCATTCATACCATTCATTCTCCATACCATTCGGTACTCGAAGTGTATATAAACGTAAAGCCGTCGATCACAACGTTCCCACTGGTTTTAGTATCCGACCTGCATATCTTCTTCCGATTCTCCTACGAAGGTACTAGTTTAACAGCAGGATATTCGCCGAATTGCGTTCCTAAATCTGTGCCATTGGTACAGTATACAGTTTTAGTTTATTTTTTATACGTTACATTTTGAATTGGGTGTTTGCTTGGTTGATTGAATTGGTTGGCTGCTGATCCGATCTGGTGCGGCTATACATACGTCCGTACATAGCTCTCCATGGATCCTACTAGCATATACGGGCATCATTGCGATAGAACGAACACACACACTGTCTGGTGGCTCAGACACACGTACTATCGTCGTGTACATGGGGGATCGGATCTCTTCTATTGCTTAACATTACGAGTACAAAAATACATTGACTTTGTGATTACAACAACATCAGGCTGCTTCTGGTGATAGCCATCTCTTTCTTCTTACTTTTACTCTGCTAGTCTGCGTTTCTTTCTCTTTCTTTCTCCTTCCTTCTCTTTCTTTCTCTTGCAATCGCATTGAAATTTTAATTTTAGCTTAACCATACATATATCCTTCGCGTATGGTATATATCGTATATATATGTATGTAAAAAAAAGGTAGGTAATGGAGAGCCCGAAGAAAATGTGTTTGAATTTATGCAATAGGCAACAATTAGAATTAGCTGGTGGTGCTGGAGTACTGGCGGGGTCTGGGCTGGTGGCCTAGCCCTCCTGCCCGAAGTCCTCTGTGAATTTGCGGAGCTTCTTCAGGTCATCATCGTTGACTGTGGGTTTCGTGCGGGACAACGATTTTAGCATGTCGCGCTAAAAGAACGATGTGAGAAATTGTGGGGAAAGTATATTGATCGGTGCTTACCATGGTCACGGCCGGTTCGAAGAGCTTGTCGCTGGGCACATCCATCCAGTTCATCTCGACGGCACCCGCATCGCCTGGAGAGCATGGGATAAGCAGATCATCGACAGTCTCGTCCTTATTCGTGGGACTGGGTCCCGTCACCTTTTTAAAGTGCGTGGCCATTTGGACCTTTCGCACAGGCTCCATCAGTGCATCGCGCACAACAATCGATATATCCGCGCCAGAGTATCTGAAATATACGGGAAGGTACAGATCTTGGTTAGATGATTCTCGGAGTGCCCCAGAAGGGATCCACCCACCCCTCGGTTTTGCCAGCCAGTTCCTTGAGATCCTGCTCAGTGAGGACGTGTGTGGTGTTGCCCAAGTGTATCTTGAACATGACAAGGCGAGCATGGGCCTCCGGCAGCGGAATGTAGATGCGCTTCTCGAATCGTCGCCGGATGGCAGAGTCGAGGACCCAGGGTATATTGGTGGCGCCCAGGACCAGGATGCCGTCAGTGTCGTTGCCGACGCCCTGCATCTGCACCAGGAACTCGGTCTTGATGCGACGCACACTGTCGTTCTCGTTGTCGGAACGGGCTGAGCACATGGAATCGATCTCGTCGATGAATATGATCGATGGCTTGTGCTGGCGGGCCAGCTCAAAGAGATTCTTGACCAGCTTCTCGGACTCGCCCAGCCATTTGGACATCAGATCGGAGCTAGACACTGAGAAGAATGTGGACCGGTTGGCCTCGGTGGCGACTGCCTTGGCCAGGTAGGACTTGCCCGTACCGGGTGGGCCGAACAGGAGGATGCCCTTCCAGGGTATGCGCTTGCCGGTGAATAGCTGTGGGAATTTGATGGGCAAGATGACGGCCTCTTTGAGGGCCTCCTTGGCAGCATCCAGGCCGGCCACATCTGACCACTGCACGTGAGGCTTCTCGATGACAATCGCCCCCTCCAGCTTGGCCTGTAGCTTCTTTTTCTCCGGGTCATCGTCCTCGTCATCGCTGTCGCTCTTCTTATCCTTGTCGTCCTTAGAGCTGGACTCGTCGCCCTCCTTGATCGGTTTCTTCTTGCCCTTCTTCAGGTACTCCTTGAGCTTCTCGGCCCGATCCAAATACTGCAGACACTTGACCCTGATCGAGTCCTTGGCCTTCTCGCCCTGCGCCTCGTCTGGAAGGTGGGAATGTAAGAATGTGAGGATGAGCACCTAGCTGGATCCTAGCGGACTACTCACACTTAATCGTATGCAGAAAGTACTCCACGCCATGCTCATAGAGGCGCAGTGCCTCGGCATAGTTCTTGTTGCGATCCTCCTCGGTGGCCTTGGTCACTAGATCGATGGCCTTCTGTAATGTAGAGCCGGACGCCATGCTGCTGCAATTGTTAATATTAACCAATAAATGAGTTATATTTTACTATTCCGGCAGTGACGTCATAGGGCTGTGATTAATACAAAGGGGGCGGGAGCTGCTTGTCTTATTGATTTTGCTTTAGAAGAGCACCAGCATAACTGGAGAGTAGGAGTCCATACTGCTTTGTTATGGGTTTTTCTAGTGCCTGTGGCTGTGTCCTCATTTCTGTCTGATGGTGGCTTGTCCGAGATTTTTTTCACCCATTCAATCCCCTAGCGATGCTCAGGCCGAGTCCCCTGCCAGAGGGTCACAGAGTCAAGGGGTGCTCCTCCTGTGGCGCATCCCCGAACAAAATCGACCTTCTGTGCATGACTAATGCAGCGCTTTGGACAAAAACAAATTGCATGACGAAGGCAGGTAGCCAAGAGCGGCAGAGTGCGGGGAGATATTTGTGTTGTTTCGTTGGTTGCGCATTACTCACATTTACGCTTTCTGTCCGAGCTGTCTGGCTCCGAATCCCGAAAATTAAACTCTTGCTGGGCACAGGATGCAATGGGTCGTACGCTGGGTGGCTCTTGGATGTGGCTGGGAGTGGAACAGATATATAAATTTAGCTAAATTCCGAAATTCCAACGCGAAGACGACCAGTGTAAACCGCGGACTTATCGATAAGATATACCGTCCGACCCTCAGAAATATACCAAAATATACCGTCTCATTTTAAAAATACACCGTAAATATACTGAAAAATTAAAATTATATTTTACATATAGCTCGATTTTGATATTCCGTGGAATATTACTAGCTATATAAAACATTTAGCCAAGCCCACATAATTTTATACGAGTGATGAATCAATTTTCTACAAGATTGGATAGTTTTTAATCCTTGCTTTTATTGTATTTATTGTAAAAACAGGGTTAAACGAAAAAGTCCAACCAAAAAAGAGTCGCAATGTTGCTGGTATTTAAAGACGTGATGCGTGTATAGCAACAGCTGCATATTCTCTCCCTCTCCTCGCACACATGCAATTTTTGACGAGGTCTAGGTGGTTTTCGTTTTTGAAGAAATTCCAAATCATGACGATTCCAAAGCCGCGACAGAAGCTGGATTACCGCAACAAGCTCATGCTGGCACCCATGGTGCGGGTGGGCACCCTGCCCATGCGTCTGCTGGCCCTGGAAATGGGCGCTGACATCGTTTACACCGAGGAGCTGGTCGATCTGAAGCTAATCAAAAGCATTAGGCGGCATAACCGTGAGTGGACCACAATTCTACTTTAAAACTTCAAAAAAACTTCCTTACCGTTATAGCCGCCCTGGGGACTGTGGACTTTGTGGATCCCTCGGATGGGACGGTGGTGTTTCGCACTTGTGCCTTGGAGACATCGCGTCTGGTCCTGCAAATGGGCACCAGCGATGCGACACGTGCTCTGGCCGTGGGTAAGCTGCTGCAGCAGGACATTTCCGGCCTGGACATCAATATGGGCTGCCCCAAGGAGTTCTCCATCAAGGGTGGCATGGGCGCAGCCCTGCTGGCGGACCCCGACAAGGCTGCTCTCATTCTGCGTACACTGTGCTCCAATCTGGACATTCCCGTGACCTGCAAAATCCGAATTCTTCCCGATCTGGATGACACCATTAGTCTGGTGCAGAAACTGGCCGACACAGGAATTGCGGCCATCGGTATCCATGCTAGAACCCGCGATGAGCGTCCACAGCATCCTCCCCATCCTGATGTGCTGCGTGCCGTGGCCAAGGCTGTCTCCATACCCATCATCGCCAACGGAGGCTCCCGAAACGTGCAAAAGTACGAGGATATTCTGAAATTTCAGCTGGAATGTGGCGCCGATAGCGTAATGGTGGCCCGAGCCGCTCAAATCAATGTCAGTATATTTCGGCGCGACGGTCTCCTGCCCATGGACGAGCTGATCGAAAGGTATCTGCGGCTTTGTGTGGACTACGACAATGCCCCGCACAATGCAAAATATTGTGTCCAGAACATGCTCAAGGAGCTGCAGGAGACGCCGCGTGGTAAGCGATTCCTTCAATGCCAGACGCTGCAGCAAATATGCGAGATCTGGCATCTGGGCGACTACTGTCGCCGCAAGCAGAAAGAGCTGCGCACCCTCGGAAATTCTGGACGGGCAGAGGTCGAGCCACCCGAGGCACAGGCCAAGCGACAGAAACTGGAAGAGGCGGCCACTGCCATCACGGATGAGTATGAGGGCGTCATCTGTCGTAGCATGCCATTTTTAAGGTCCACCTATGCCAGTGGTATGCCAGCTTTAAGGCGTCTCTGTATTGGTCTCTGTACTAATTGATGCTCCTTTTCTGTAGACAATCATCTGCCCAAGACCGTACTGTATGTGTACGCTGGAAAGATGGGCAAATCCCCGCCTGCCTATGAGACGCAGCAATGCGATAAGCTGTTCCGTGCCATTTGCAGCTACGACGACCAACGCTACAGCAGCACCTTTTGGGAGAAGAACAAGAAGCAGGCCGAACAGGGGGCGGCTCTGGTGGCCCTTTTGCATATCGGGCAGCTTCAAGAAGAGCCCCTGCGTGAGAATGGCAGTCTGATCAACTGACGAAACACTGAAGAATGTAAATATATGATTTTGTCCTTTTATCCTTTGATTTGAGTAGAAATTCACACTTTAAATTATTTTTATTGGGGACTTTAGCTTGGGGGAAGGGAGGATGCCCTTGTTTTGTTTTAATTTCCTAGTGTCGGGGGAGGGGGGTGTGGTGTCGATGGTGAGATGTTTTGAGGTGTAGAGTGTGGTGTGGTGTTCAAACGGACCGATGCTGACCATGTGGTGGTGCCCCCTGATGATGCTGGGCATGCTGCATGGCACCATGGGAATGGTGGGCATTATGAGGTGGCGGCATCATGGTATGATCATCACGAAATCCACAATTGGCAATATAATTAAGCAGATAATCCTTTGTAACCGGTTGCTTTATGCTCTCCACAACGGCTGTCCAACCAAAAAAGCGACAACAAGATTAAGATTAAGTAACAAGTTCCAAGAGACATCACAGCTTACCGCGTGCTGTATTGAAGCTATTTGGATGCTTCTTGTCTGTTCGCTCTCGCATAAACTCCCAGTTGCCAAACTGATTCATGGTGCACTCCACAATCTTGTTGTCCACATCACGGATATCCTTGGTCAACTTTTGCATACGCCCGAACGGTGCGTCATGTCCGCCCACATAGAGGAAGCCAACCTTTTTGGTCAGCAGTCTACAAGGCCACCAGCGTAAAGAGTGGTTAAGCGTTGATCTACCAAAGAATTACTTCTCGCTCCGCACTCACCCTTCGCCGCGTTCTGTGATGATCTTGAGCCGAAAATCCACAGAGTTGAGTTCGTGGGGCTTCCATTTGAAGACATTCGGACAGACGCCGGCCGTGTAGGGCTGATGCGAAGGCTGAAATATCAAACCATCGGGCTCGTGGGCCAACGAACGGGCGAACTTCTCGCCCAGCAGGCGGGCAGACATCCAAATGTCCCAAAAATCCTTGGCCCGCACACTGAATGCCTGTAGTTTTTGGACAATGATGCCCTGCTTCATGCCCGAGATGCGGGGACCTGTACAGTGCCCAGACATAACAATCATAATAAATAAACGAAATAATCAGTGGATCGTGGATCGTATGTGTACCTATCACATCGTTTTTGATGTAATCCAGTCGATTGGGAAAGAAGGGCTCCTCGCGCACATCTCGATTGGAGAGCCGTACAATGTCATAGATGAGGTAACGCGGCATCACACCGTCAGCGATCCTGTCCAGCACCATTTCCTGCAAACCAAGAATCCCAAATCAGTCAAGTGCCAGAACCAGGGCCAAATCATACGCAAGTCTTACCCCATCCACCAGGGTGCCATCGAGATGATCGTTTAGATTCTTGCCATCGAGAAACGTGACATTCTCCACCTGGAAACATGAGTGATTTCGGTCAAAGAAGTACACCTCGTCTTGGCCATCGATGAGCATCATGTAGCGTGTGCCATCGGCTTTCCAGGAAACGCGATAGGGTATCTCGCTCAGTCGCTTGATATTATGCCTGTCCATGGACACCGGCTGGGAGCCGGGGAAGCCATTCTTGTTCCAGTGACACCAGTTCTGCACCCTCGACTGGAGGTCGCCCAAACGCGGCTGATCGCAGACTTGTCGTACCCCGGGGACTCCGTCCATGAATGTGGCATTCCTTACGACCATCTCCCGTCGTCGCTTCTTCTTCGAACCATTGGCTTCGCCACCCTCGCCGCCCTCGCCCTCCTCCCCATCCACGTCATCGGCGTCGTCTTCGTTGCCATCTCCAGCTGCTGCCTGTTGCGATGTGGACGAAGAGGTGCTGCTGTCATCGTTGGGGCGCTTTCTGCTCGGCAAGATGTCATCATCGCCATTGCTGTCGTCGTACTCCAGACACCAGTTGGGCTGTTCAGGCGCCTGGGGAGCATCCTCGCCAAGCTCAAACCGTTTGTATAGCTCATCAATATAGTCCTGCTTGTAGATACCCGGTGGCCGGGCGTTGGCAAAGACGGATAGGGCTGCCTCCAAGGAGCAATCGAGACGCTCGACCATATAGGAGACAATCAGGAAGCCCGTGCGATTGAAGCCATGCGTGCAATGGACGGCGATCACATCGAAAGGACGCTCCGTGATGAAGTTGTCGACAATTTCAATGAAGCTGCGCGTCTGCTCGTGCGAGGGAGTCTCACCATGGCCGCGACACTGCAGCTTAATATATTGCGCCCCGCGCTCCTCCACCGTCGAGCGATCATAGAATCGTTTCGTGTTGGTCAAGTCCACCCAGAGACCTAGCTTGTGCTTTGGAAATACGATTGGGGGATACGATTGATATTAGGGTAAGCCAATGTGGCGTCATAGGATATGTACCTTCACTGTCTTGCAGTAGTCAAAGAGCATCTCAGGACGAAAGGTGCACTCAATGGGCATTTTGTCCTTGAATGCCTGACTGAGTGGTGTCTTAAAGGCCAGAAAACGCTCGGCAATGATCGAGTCGCTTTTCCGAGGGCAATATAGCCAACGATTTGGCAGTGGCCCGGAGCCGCCACCTCGGTCACGATGCGATTGAGACATATTGTGTGACGACGACGACAACGAATCCTTACGCTTTTCGCTCGGAGTGGGGTCGTGGGGCGGTGTGGTTTAGTGGAGTTTGGGCAAGCCCTCGCCGGCCGTTCGTTGAAGATCCGCCTTAAAGATCGCGATTTGTTTGGCCTGTCTTAACTTCTGCTTGCATTTTCACCAAATTTCAAGAGCAGCAGCACTTAGAAACACACGGGGGACGGGGTGGCGCTGGACGCAGTGTGACCGCGAACTCATCGATAAGATATGCGGTCTGAACCGCAGAAATCTGCCGAAAAATATGGTCTCATTTTAAAAATATACCGTAAATATACTGACGAAATTTGTTATGTCAAGTTGCATCATATTCCACGTTTTTGATATTCGATTGCATATTGCTAGCTAGGCAACACCCTCAGCTCTAAACTCATAGTTTTATACGATTATCAAATCCATTTCCTACTAGACTGGTTAAATTTAAGTTTTCATCTTTATTGCTTTGCTCATAAAATAAGGTTTAAGCATTTAAGCACCTAATTTACTTACATAGTAACTACACGATAAATACACGTGTGCTTCATATTAACTACATTTTATGTAATTACCAGAAGCGACACCTGGGAAAATGTGTACATTTCAAACATTTTTTCCCGCTCTTTTTATTAGAGACGAATTTAAAAAAAAAAAAGAGAATTTAATGGGAAGCGATCAGAAATTTGATGCTGATCACGAATTGGTATTCGATGGGACCTGGGACATGGCTCTAAATGGCATTTCTACACGGTTTCTACATTGGTGCATTGGACGGGACGGTGAGTCCATAACAAAAATAGTATGAAAAGTAAATAAAATTGCAAGGTGTGTGAGCTAGACATAGTGGCTAAGCTGGCAGTGGGACTTAGCGATAAAATATACGGTCTGACCCTCGAAAATATACCAAAAAACGTAGCCCACTAAAGCCCCCTCTATTTAAACAGTTCAACGACTCGAGGTAAAAGGCTATAAATTTTAATTGTAAATTATAATTTCGTCTTGTAAATCCATCACATCTTTCCTCTGAGTTTAAAAAAACCACGATTTCTGTCACCTGAACTGCGCTAAAATTATTCCATTGTCATTATTTTCTGTAGAATATTAAAATACAACGGGCTAATAATTGTTTGTGTCGTGTGTGTATTTTCAGAGAAAGAAGAAGAATCAAAACAAAACAAAAGAATCGGATGCGGATGCGGAAATCCTGTCTGCCTGCTGATGTCTATGTGGCGATGCTGGTTCAGCTCCAGCAAGGAGCTAGACGAGATTTTCCGTCATGTCATAAAAAACGACGAAAGTTATATCCCTAAAGGCAAGCCCTCTGTGTGGCGGACGGACAATGACCCCCGGAATGCCCAAGATTCCCACTGTCGAGGTGAACATTGTAGAGGATCTGGTGATTGATGCCATCCATGTCAGTGGGGCCACGAGTGTTTCCCTGCCAGGAGAGCCACTTCCGAGCCAGCTACGCAGCTGATAATGACGCGCTACCGCAGAAAGACTGCGAAACTGAGTTTCTGATTCCGAAAGGAACAGCACTGCCCAACCGACAACAAAGTCGGCCGAGCCGAGCCGAGAGACGCCCTTTGCAAGGTCGTCCAGATGCATCAGCTTGAGGAAGAGTCAAGTGAGTAAGTTCTCTGGCTGGGGAGGGGAAGAACAACTAGGAGGCTACAAACAGGGCCAGGCCCAAGACAATTAATTAAAAATTCTATTGCTCCTAGCTGCGTTTTTCGTCTGCAAAAATGAACTTGGCAAACACACACATACACATACACACATGCACAGCATCTTGAGAATTATTTACTGCAATGTAAATAAACTGTTTTTGGATTCCCAAATACTTAACAACAAATGCTGCTCGTCTCGGCCGCAGAGAATGGCCGAGCCGAAGCAAAGCACAAACGATGGCTACAATAACAACAACACAATCGTCGATGGTCGATGCTGTCTGGATGGATGAGCCAATGCTCTGCACCGCCTCTCACTCGCTCAATGATCACTGGCCGGTCGCGATCACGATCTCCGATCTCCAGTTCCATTTTCCGTGCCATTTGGATGGTTGTTAGTTCGCGGCCAATTGCCACAGCAATTAAATCGTTCGAAATGGCTGCCCCCGCAGCAGCTCCAGCATCCGTTAAACGCCTGCCAGACCCAGACCCAAAGATTGCTGCAGTCGCAGCCATGCCCAAAATAACAATTACAAGCAGCAGCACCACCAGCAGCAGCAGCAGCAGTAGAGGTGCCGCTGTGCCCAAATCTCCAGATGGTCTTACCGCCTTGGTGGCCAAAAAGAGTCTCACCTCCATGTCCGATGAGGAAATTATTCAGGAGAATCTCAAGGAAATACTGGATCTTAAATCCCGCGTAAGTGCCCCAGGTAGCCCCCTTGCCGTGCGCGTGTGTGTGAGTCATTCAAAAACACCTTGATTTAAGTGATTTATGGATACGTCATCATCTGGTAGAGATCCATTAACCATTATCCATTGCCGATGCAAGCAGGCAGGCACGACGGCAGAAATGCAGTCAAATATTTTTGTACGACGCCATCGTTTCTAATGATTTGTGAAAAATTACACGCCAAAATATTCCAACTTTTATCCACTTTTCATTAGAAAAGCGTACAAACCAAAAGTTACAGTGCCAAATAGCTGGATTCCACTGTACCCCCCTGTATGCCTGTGCCTGCCTGTGTTTATACGAGTATGCGCCTGCTCATGATCTGCTTGGAACGGCGGGTCTTATAAACAAAGTTTTTATGGGCACACCTATACAGCTATATATGTAGATCCCCGGACCCCAGAACGAGAGCGATAAACGACGAACACACACAGACACACACCTCTCCTCTGGTGGTGGCATTTGGGAGACAGTCGCATCGCCATGACTCAATTTCTGATCCCTTTCTTTATCTGTTTGGCTTTTTGCAGGAGGAGCGCAAAGCCAATGGACGCCTGGTGGCCGTCATTGTTTGTTTTCTGGGTAAGATACCACTTACTGCACTGCACCACTGTATATCCTCTAATGCTTCCGTTTCGTTTCCCTTTTTGCAGTGATCTTTCTGGCCATTTATCATGCCTGGATACAGGATGCCCTGGCTGGGGTCTTGGTGCCGGCCGGCATAATGCTGTCCTATTTCGCTTGGGTCGTGGTCCTGGCCAAAAGGGATAAGCACAAACGTGCCATGTTTGTAGGATCCATATCTATTCCCTACCAAAAGCATCTATTCACTTTTTATACAAAATTCGTTTATATAGGAAAAGCATATCGAGGAGGTGGCCATGAAGAACAAGAGCGAACTGGAGGAGAAGCATTCCCGAATGAAGCACTCTCACGGCCACGGACACGGACACACGGTCAGCGCCATGAATGCGGACCAGCAGAGCTGCAGCGGCAGTGCCTCGAGCAGTCTGCACTACGTTAACGAACTGCTGCCAAATGGAGAGCACCGCAAGAAACAGCGCCGCCACAGACAGTGGCACGGGGAGGGGGAGAGGCCAGGACGTGCGCACCGTGCGACTGGTGCCACCACAGAGGCAACGGTGCATCGCAGCGGAGGGGCCAAGAGGCCCAGCATTAGACAGAAGCTGTTCGGCCAGAGCATCGCGCATGTGAAGCTGGTGGAGACGCAAAGCGACAGCATGGACTCAACGGGCGGCGGCCCCACTGCTCCCACTGGTCCCAGCAGCGAGAAGCGCAAGAGGCTGCAGCGCATGGACAACCTGCCCATGCCCCAGGTGGTGCGCATGAGCTCGGCGCCATAGAATAGAGTAGAGTAGAGGAAGGGATGAGATGGAATGGGATGGCCTTGCTATTGTATCGAGTAAATAAATGTATTATAAAAAATATAAACAGGAAATTCGGTTTTATAAATAGATGGGCAGGCGGCAATCAAGGGAAGGAAACAATGTCCGATCGCCACACGGCGGCCGAAATCGATGCGAAATCAATGCTGAATACGTGAGCATTGTAGCTCTTTGATCAGTGCTGTGCCTTTGGCCTTTTTCCCACCCAATAAAACCGATGATAAATTCCATTAATTGTGTATGGTTTTCCGCATTCATTGGCGCAGTCGGCACTGTGTGCGTGCCCTCTGACACGAATTGCTTACATTTTGACCGGATTCTGGCCAACAATTGTTTTCGGTCATTGGCTATTGTTATTGCATTTTAATGGCTTACATGTGGCGCGGCCCGCAGTTTTTCGATCTCTCGCCCCAACCCCTGTGTATTTTTGTTTTGTTTTCGCGGCTTGCTTATTTTCCGATAGTGTTTTTTCAAATCAACCGCCAAGCTGTTTTTGTCATCGGTGCCAACATAATATCTTTCTTTTCTTACAGTTTTCATTTATTCGAATAACTTGGCAGGCGCTGGAAAATAAACATAGCTTTGGGTCTACATTTATGTAGTTTAATCAGTTTGTGTTTGTATTCCAACAGAGTAACAAAGATCAAAAAAGCGGAGCGACAAAAAAAAAAAAATAAAAACATTTTTCGGTGAAGTTTGCGTAATTGTAAGCAGAGCGACGATAAAAAAAATAAAATTTAATACATTTTTCGGTGAAGTTTGCGTAATTGTAAGCAGAGCGACGATAAAAAAAATAAAATTTAATACATTTTTCGGTGAAGTTTGCGTAATTGTAATTTCATATAATATTAAACAGTGAAAAGCAAAACAACACGCCGGTAAGTCCAAGAATCATAGCTTTCACCCTCGATCTGCCGACGAGTTTGCCTTCTAAAACAAAACGACAACACTAGTATACACTAAGGAAAGGGATTTTACAGAACTGATAAATACAGAAATACAACATTTGGCAGTTAATAGTCTTCTTACAGAGACCAAGAATACGTTCGGGATCTAGATATAAATATATACAGAACACAGATCAAGTACATTAATATGTCAAAAACATGCGATTTTGTGAGAGACATTATTAATTTTTATATTATATTATTAGTTAAAAGTAGATTGAATAACAGAGACAGAGAACGATTAGACAGTGAATGATTAACCTATTTTCGACCATTTTAGTCCTGTTTAGGTGAAAGAGATAAAGAGACAAAATAGGATGGACCTACAAGATTAATTATTATTACTACTATTAGTTTTATTTTCCGTGGTTTAACCGAAGTTGTTATCATGTTTAAATAAAGGGGGTATAAGTAGGCTAAGATTGTTTTTTCATCGGTATATTTGCGGTATATTTGGAAAATGAGAGTATATATCGATAAATCAAACAGTCACACTGTTCTATTCATTCAAAAAGTGAGCGTCGTTTGTGATTTTGTTTCAAATTTTTTCCCCTAAGTTTAATTCGTCCGGTGTCAAGTCTCTTCGCTGCGTGAAGAAGCTTTTTTTCGTTTTGTTGTTTGACTTCCAGTATTTTGCTAAAATGGATATCCGAAGCTGGAAGTCGGTGATCCTCTCTTGGGTAAGTTGAGCATTTTTTTTTAAAATTTTGTTTTGCCTGTGCGTTGTGTGACACTGCTGGCGCATAGCTATATTGTGTGTGTGGGCAATTTTTGCTTGTTTTTTTGAAAATTTGTACATTAAAGGACAATCTATATCAAATTACATGCAAGAGATGATCTTGTTTTCAGATTAAAAGCCGGCATAAAGTTATACTTTCTATGTGTGCGCGTGCGTTCTTGCTGGCCGGTGTCTGCGAGGCTCGCCGCATTCATATGCATCCATACCTGTGAGCCATGCCGTGTGTGTGTGTGTGTGTGCTTGGTTTCAAAATTTCTTGCGTTTAAGCCAACATTTTTAAAAGCCTAATGACAAGCCTTAAAAAGTTAAAAATATTTGAATACAATTCATTTTGGTGGAAAAGGGAGCAGAGCTCTCAATGCTTGACAATAACAATGTTTAAAAAAGTATCCAAATTGTAAGTTGCATTGTAAAATAATGAACATTGGAAGTTCCAGGAACGAAAAGGTTCCTTGCGAAGTGCTGCGTCAGAGTTCTGGTTGTGTGTGTGTGTGTGTGTTTTGCTGCCTGCGCCGCCTGCTGTTCGTGCGTGACCTTGTGTGAATAAATTGGTGAATTTGCTTTTTTTATGTCAAATTGTTTATATATTTAATAGTAATAATTAAATAAAATGGAATGTATGTGGAATCGCGATTAAGAACGAAACGCTGCCGCAGAGCACTACCTGTGCCATCGCGTACATCGCGTGTATATGTATTTGTGTGTGTTTTCTGCGAGGCTGCGCAGCCGCAAGGCTGCAATTAGCCGAAGGTACCCTATGCCTGTGCGTGTTCGTGTGCGTGTGTGTGTGTTTTGTATTTGAGCAGAAGTAGGTATGCGTGTATGTGTGTGGGTGGCAGTGGGAGGAAACAAAAATCCAATGCAAATCCTCAATATAATCCTCTTACAGGTACAGAAATGCGGCTTCGTGGACGAAAATGTGCTGACTCTCGAACAATCAAACATCTATAAATTCTTCGAGCACTATCTGGAGTATCTGGAGTATGATTACAAGCATCTCGCTCTGGACACCACGGACTCGACGCACAGCGATCTCAGTTCGTGCAATGATACACCGCTGATCAAATTTTTGCAAAGTAAGAGACCAAAATGTGTTATTGATTCACCTACTGATCCACTCCCTTTTTGCCGCGAGCAGCCGTTTATCCAGACTTTGGTCCCAATCTGGATACAAGTGGAAACCTCGATCGCAGCGACTATTTTCTGGTGTACACATTGATGCTGCACTATGCATGTGTCATTAAAAAGAGTACACAATATCAAATCAAATGCACAGAGCTCCCGGAGCACATTCAAAAGGCCATAGCATCGTTTTTGTCGCGCATCGTTAATAGTCATAAGATAACACGTTTTTGCCTGGTCGAGGCATTAGAAACGACTAAGAAATTTTTCGAGCCCGCCGCACCGCCTGCAATGGTCTTGCCGTATACGACAAGCACTGTCCGCCAAGCACTGATGGAGGCCGCCATCATTCCCGCCGACCCCGAGGCTCCTGGCACACCCGTAAAGGCCATCACAGATAGTCCACAGACTCCGCAAGATACGCCGTTGCACAGCAGCCGCGACGAATACTCGCCGCTGCCGATTTGCAGCACACCAATGCGTGAGCGGGAGCGTATGACGGTGTTTGAATGGCGACAAGTGATGGATAAATTGGCGGCTACGGAAATCAAATTGGCGGAATTGGAAACAAAATTGACATCGGCTGAACGCAAATTGATTTCGACAGAGAACGAGTATTCCATCTTGGATGAATTGTTTCAGGAAGTATCCAAAACAAAAGTAAATTTACAAAATGGTACGTCCCTCCCACAGCACTTTTCCCCAACAAAATGTTCTCTTACGTATCCCCCCCCCCACCCGTACTTTCTGCAGCTAATAAAGAACTCAAGGCCGAGATCGAGATACTAAGGGAAAAGATTCAAATATTCGAGGAGACGTCCATTAATGAAGAAGCCGACGAGCATAGTAATTTCGAGCATGTGAGTAGAAGAAACCAAAGGGGAAGGAGAGGCTCTAACCTTCCATTCCATTTGTTTTTTTTTTTTTTTTTTGTTTCAGCTTAAGCAAGGCTATGTAAAGGAAATAGCCGCCAAGGAGGCAATCATAGCCGAAATTAACGAACACCTGCAGGATGCGATCAGTGCACATGTCAAGGAGAATGCAAGGGTAAGACCGATATATCCTTTCCCCTCACTTCAGCTTGTATTTATGAACAATACCGAACTCTCCGAACAGGTCCGCGAAATAGAAGAGCAGTTGAAGAAGTGCTTCGACCAAATCAACACGCTCAATCTGACGGTCAATCAAAATAAGGCAAGACTGAGGGACAAAGATTTGGAGATTAGTTGCCTGGAGCGCGACAAGCAGGACTTGGCCCAGTGCCTGAATGTGCTGCGGCAGGAGGCGCAGGGACGTCGTGAGGTGCTGAATGCCTCCTCGGACATGCTGGACACTTCGCTGTCCCCAGGCAGTGTGCCGGAAAATCTTGGCAGCTGTGTGATTGAAAAGCAGCTGCGCGAAAAGGATCAGGAGATATGTCAGCTAAAAGAGGAATTCGCAAAACTCCAGTCGGACATATACAAATTAATCAATGCGGAAGTGAAGGTCGAACCATCCTTCAAGGATCAAACGCAGCTTTTAAAGGCTATTTGTGATGCGCTTATTGTTAGTCCCCAGGCAGCAGCCGAATATGAAACCAGGAAACTTCACAGCGAGATCGAGATCCTACTCGCGAAGCTGCAGAGCGAAAAGGACGCCAGGGCCGACATGCACGATCCGCACGACAAGGAGTGCATCAAAATGACTTGTGAACTGGCATTTATCGACGAGGATTTGGACAACGAGAAGCAGATCGTGGCGAAGCAGCATAAACGAATTCTGGAAGCCCAACAGCGCCTCGACTCTCTAGCCTTGACCGAGAAATATAATAAACAGCTGGATGAGCTGCAGCACCAGTTGGAGATCCTCGAAACTGAACTCTCACAGATGGCCTTGCAAAAGTTAAATAGTCAGCACTGTGTCCTCAACTACCTCGAGGATGAGAAGGCGAGTGATGAGATGTCGCGGCAGAGTCTTGAGGAAACAAAGAGGCTGGAGCAGCAGATCAACTCGAAGCATGATCTGCTGGAGAAGAAGGAGAGCGAGGTGGCTGAGGTAAAAGATCAAATCGCTGTGCTGCAGCAGCAGATGAAGGACGAAGGGGCTAAGGGACGTCTGCAGGCGCCCGCAAGGATGGCTGAGATCGACCAGCTAGTCAAGGACCGCAAAGTTCTGGCGATCACATCACATGAACAGTCTCAACGACTTGCACATCGTCACGATCGGCTGGACAAGCTGGAGCTAGCACGGAAGAAGAAGGAAATACAGATCAAGAATGAGAATCACGACCCTGACTCGGAGATCGGCCGTTACTATGCGCGGGAACTGCAGGAACTGGAAAGTAAATGCCATTTTACGTTGCAAAAATGCGTTCAAGCGAAAGCAGAAGCCGCCGAGCAGGCTGACAAGTTGTCCCACGTGCTGCAGCGTCTGGAACAGATCCAATACCAGAATGAACGCTCGATTGAGGTAGCTACCACCAAAGAGGAGCCTGCGGCACAAAAAGATTCCGATAGAGATCTGATTGCAGAAAAGGATGCGAAAATAGCTGAACTATCAGTCGAAATGATGGTGCTGACAGATAAATTGGACTCCCTGGCCGATGATCGAGCGAGGCTAAAAGCCAGCGCGAAGGAGCATCGGAAAAATGCCTCAATTTTGCAAAAATCTCTCGATCTACTGTCGGCTGAGAGATCGGGGCTAGCGAAAAAGCTTGGGCTGCAAAAAAGTCTTCTGAAGATGTATGGAAAGTCCATAGAAGTTTTGTTGGAAAAGCAGAACAGCCAGAAGGATAATGAAAAGTGTTACGAGCAGAAATTGAAAAAATTGCAAGAAGAACACTCGGACGTTATCAAGAAGCTGGAGCTGGGGATCGATCAATGGCGCGAAAGATACGAAAACCTTGAAAACGATATCAGCGCGCAGAAGGAGATCGCCAGTACGAATGAGCGAAAGCACCAGGACAGACCAAGCACAGTTCAAGCACATGCAGGGACCATTTCGAAGCTTCGAGATGATTATAATACGCTAGAGAAAGACTTACTCCACAAACAGAACTGTTGCGAAGAGGATCGGCAAAAGCTCAACGAACGAGTGGTGCTGCTGACAGAAGAGCGTGACACTCTGAGACTTTATAAAGACACCTTGAAGCAAGAGCTCGGCACTCTGAGCCAAGAGCGTGACACTCTGAAACAGGAGCGTGACACCCTGAGACTTTGTTGTGACACCGTGAACCAAGAGCGTAACAATCTGAACGAGTTGTATGCGACCCTACTGAAAGAGCGTGACAATCTGAACGAGTCGTATGCGACCCTACTGAAAGAGCGTGACAATCTGAACGAGTCTAATGGTACCCTACAGAAAGAGCGCGACAATCTGAACGAGTTGTATGCGACCCTACTGAAAGAGCGTGACAATCTGAACGAGTCTAATGGTACCCTACAGAAAGAGCGCGACAATCTGAACGAGTTGTATGCGACCCTACTGAAAGAGCGTGACAATCTGAACGAGTCGTATGCGACCCTAATGAAAGAGCGTGACAATCTGAACGAGTCTAATGGTACCCTATTGAAAGAGCGTGACAATCTGAACGAGTTGTATGCGACCCTACTGAAAGAGCGTGACAATCTGAACGAGTCTAATGGTACCCTACAGAAAGAGCGCGACAATCTGAACGAGTTGTATGCGACCCTACTGAAAGAGCGTGACAATCTGAACGAGTCTAATGGTACCCTACAGAAAGAGCGCGACAATCTGAACGAGTTGTATGCGACCCTACTGAAAGAGCGTGACAATCTGAACGAGTCTAATGGTACCCTACAGAAAGAGCGCGACAATCTGAACGAGTTGTATGCGACCCTACTGAAAGAGCGTGACAATCTGAACGAGTCGTATGCGACCCTACTGAAAGAGCGTGACAATCTGAACGAGTCTAATGGTACCCTACAGAAAGAGCGCGACAATCTGAACGAGTTGTATGCGACCCTACTGAAAGAGCGTGACAATCTGAACGAGTCGTATGCGACCCTACTGAAAGAGCGTGACAATCTGAACGAGTCTAATGGTATCCTACTGAAAGAGCGTGACAATCTGAACGAGTTGTATGCGACCCTACTGAAAGAGCGTGACAATCTGAACGAGTCTAATGGTACCCTACAGAAAGAGCGCGACAATCTGAACGAGTTGTATGCGACCCTACTGAAAGAGCGTGACAATCTGAACGAGTCTAATGGTACCCTACAGAAAGAGCGCGACAATCTGAACGAGTTGTATGCGACCCTACTGAAAGAGCGTGACAATCTGAACGAGTCTAATGGTACCCTACAGAAAGAGCGCGACAATCTGAACGAGTCTAATGGTACCTTGCTGATAGAGCGCGACAACCTGAAGGTTGCCGAACAGCAACACCAGACGGAAATATCTCGATTTGAGAACATGGAACGAGAGATATGGGGAATGCTGGACAATACCACAGAGAAGATTCAGGCGCTGGCGGAGATAAACGCAGACGAAAACAAGGAGAACCGTCAGCTACATGTCGAGGGCTCTTTGCGTCAGGTGAATTGTCTGGAAATGCTCAAAGAGATACTATATCAAAAGGACATGCAAATCGAAGCCCTGCGCAAGGAGAGAGAAGTGATTCGCAAATCCGAACGTGCCACCAAAAGCACACTCCATATGTTAACCAAAGAATGTGATGCGAAAGAGGCTCGACTCAGCCAGGAGATTGGTAGTCTCAACTACAATTTGAAGCAAGCAAAACAACTTGTCCATCAGCAGCAACTCTCGCAAGACACGGAAACACAGCTAAAGATAGATGCCAGCCAGGCCCTGGAAGCTGCCAAACGAGAATTGCAGGAAGTACGCGAGCAAATGCTGAAAATCGAAACGGAACATGCACATGATAAGCAGCAATTTGAACTGATGGCACAACAATTTCAGGCTCAGCACGCACAGATTCTCCAAGAAAAAGCTGACCTCCAAGCGGACCTTCAGAAGCACACGGTGCAGCTCCTGATGTTCCAGGAAATGGTTCAAGGACACAAAGGGATCATTTTAAAGCAGCAAGATGATTTCAGGACCCTAGAGAAGGACTTACTCCACAAACAGAAGTGTTTGGAAGAGGGTCGCCAAAAACTCTACGAACGAATGCTGATGCTGAAAGAAGAGCGTAACACCCTGACACAGGAGCGTGACACCTTGAAGCAAGAGCTCGACACCCTAAACCAAGAACATGAGGCCTTCAGAAAAGAGCGTTGCACCCTGAAACTTTATAATGACACCCTGAAGCAAGACCTGATCTCAGTTGAAAAGCAGCTCAAGGAGGAGGTGTCCCGCCAGGAGATCGAGACTGAAGCTCGTGCCATGACCGAGAAGCAGCTCTCGTTGGTCCAGCATCAACTGGAGCAGTCTGAACAGAAGTATGCCCGTCTCAAAATCGAGATGACTGACCAACAAACGACCTCGGACGAACGACAGATTCAGTTAAGCAAACAGTTGAATGACGCCAAAAAGGAACTGGCCGAAACGATGCAACGCCTCAGTGCCACATACACGGCGGCTGCCGAGGAGGAGGGGCTACCCGATCGCACGACCCTCCAGCGAGACTGCCAGGTGCTGCAGGCCAAATATCAGGAGGCCAAAACGAAGATTGACGAACTACATGTGAACCTAAAGGACCAGCGCAACGAGATGGAGGGCAAGTTGGAAAAAATGAAAAATAAAATGGTAAGACCTGCCTATGAGTCGACCACCAACCTCCGTGCTGTACTCAGTGGAATCCCTAAAATCCTACGTATTCCGATTCTGATATTATTTATTTTGGTCATATATATATGTTGTATTGCATACCACAAAATTTTAACATAATACACTAACACTGTTCTCTGTTCATTGACTTTATCGCACACTCCACAACTAATTTTCCCTTTCTAATAAATCTAATAATAATCTGTATAATAATCTTAAGCTAACTTTAATCTATGCAAACAATCCAAGGGATAGTTATTTATACCATGCCATGCATGGACTGCATTCTGCCTGCCGTAGATATTTATTATTATTTACTAATCATCTGTATAGTCTGATACAGACCGAATTCCAACCGACATTCTCTTTGAAAAAATACCCAGAATCAGCGGCAGTTGGAGTTCGATTTTCTCTGTCATGTATGTATGTATATATTTGGTATTGTATTTGTATTTTTGTATAGCATTTGGTATATGGTTCTATATGCTGTTATTTTTTGTTGTTGTTGTTTCTGTTCTGTGAAGCTGTGGTTCTGGTGTTTTTTTTTTTTTTTCGTTATTATTCCACAGATACAGAATAACATCGATTCTGATGAAGAAGGGGGAGGACAAAGTACAGCTTGAATTTTAGTTTTGCGCAAAAAAATTGTTTATATTTTTGAAATTAAAAAAAAAAACACGGTTTTTTATTCTCCTATCCTTCCGCCTGCTACAAAAAATCCTTGACACACGCACACACATACACGCACACACTGTCCGACGAACGAACACTCGAACACACCATTCGAATCATTCCGAACGCCATTCGAATCATTCCAAACACCACTCGAAACAATCGAAACAATCGAAACACAGAGCCAGCCAAACGGGAGACGAAAGCGCAACCAGACTGAGGATCAATCCTCAATAAATGAGGGGAACGTAGCTACAACTGTGGTACGAACTGGACCTGATGACAATGATGCTACTGTGATAGAAAGCGCCGAAGACTTGGCTTTGGTTGCAGGCCCTGAAACGTACAAACTGGAACCCAATGCCGAAGTTGGAGATTGCGTAGTTAAATCTGAATCGGAGGAAACATTCGACTATACCGACGCGCTTCTTAGCTCGCTTTCGTGGTGGAAGCGCGTGCTGCGCGGACATTGCCTCACCGTGGGGATAATCATAGTATCAATGGTGGCATATAGTGGCCTGATAGTGTGGATTTTAAAACTGTATGGAATCGACGTGAGCTTGAAGTTGAAGCGCCCCTCGCAATTCTGAGTGTGCTGCATTTTAATTTGTATTTTTTTTTTTTTTTTGTAAATTTTTGATATTTGTTTTCTATTGGTTATTGGCTTTAACTTTAGCTATTGTAATGCTAATGCTAACATATTACCTAGAAGAAGTCGATAGGTTGTTTTGTTTCGAGACTCATGTTTGTGCCGTCCCCTTATCTGTTGCCACTCCACCCACTTATTTCTCACCCACTCTCTCGGATCGCCCCCAAAAAAAAAAAACACCAAATAAACCCCCACACACCGCACCGCACCGCACACACAACTACACACGGACAACACGGACTTGACCCACTGGCAGCGCACCTTGTACACCGCGGAGGTGACACGCATGAAGGAGAAGCAGGAGCGCGAGGCGGCGCATAACAAAGCGGAACTGGAGGTCCTTACATGTCAGGTGAGTGTGAATTTATTTAAAAACAAATTAAAATAATTGCAAAATGTTAGTTTCTTTTTATAAATATTTTGTATATATTTTTTTAAAAGTTTCAAACAAATATCTATACAAAATTGATTTAAATTCTGAAAAGTTGATGTAATTATTGGATCATTCCCACACAGAACAACAAATACGAGGAGCATACACGGAAGCTCTCCAATCAGATTGTTCGCTTGAACGAAAGGATACTCGAGCAACAGAAGCAGCACGCGATAACCACAACAAAATTGCGCCACATGCAGGCCACCTCGGAAGCCACCAAATCCTCATCTTCACTTTCCACACTGACTGTCGCTGGAAGCGCAACCACAGCGGCCACAGGCACCGGCACGGGCACGGGCACGGGCACGGCAGCATCCGCCACCGAGGACTGGCAACCCTTCAAGCGTCCCAGTGCACCCTCCTCGAATCTGGCAATGGAAGATGAAGAGGGGGAGGTGTTCAACAACACCTATTTGACGGACCTAAAGCTGGGCCGTGTGCCGGATATAACGTGAGTTCTTGGACATCCACTGGCATCGCATCCATAAGTCATTCAATTCTGTTTGCAGCGCGGAGGAGCTAAACTATCGAAACTCGCTGCAGCCGCCGCATCTGAGGAGCACCTATGCGGCCCAATACGATGTGGGAAGCCAGGACGAAGATCTCAAAGTAAGCCACATCCAGATCCAGACGCAGAGCAGCAACAGTGCCACCAACAGCGACAAGGGCAACAAGGCTGCAACACCCGCAAAGGCGCAGGCAAAGAGAGCGCAGTGGGCACGCATCTGGCCTAATCGAAGAACATAAAATATAATCAAACACAACACACAATTTCCAGATGATGTAAAATGTAAAATGGAAAAACACGACCCCCATAGGGTTTAGAGTAAGATCAGATCCTCTTGTACATTGTGAAGTGTCCGTCCTCCTTTGCTCGCTGTCGCTGTCGCTTGGTTTTCGTTTTGGCTGTTGTATCTCTGTGTTCCGTGTTCTGTGTGTTTTCTACTACTAATCCCAGTTTGAGTTTTCTATCCACCAACCATCCTCACACGTTTATTCCGTTTCTCTCAGGACGGACCACATAGTCTGGACGACAGCATGAGCGCCTTGCTTAGCTCTTCGGCGAGCACTGGGGCCCGCAAGAAGTCAATGGGCACTCACTACAAGCGTCCTGGTCCGCCCACACCCAGCAAGAACGGCGGCCGCTTGTCCTTCGGCAGCTCAGAGCCGCCGCGGGAGATACTGCGCGAGACTTGCGAGAATACCGGCACCTCAAAAACACCCACACGCTTCAAGATGTTCACCTCGCGCTTCAGCATCGGCAGCACCACCAGCGGCAGCAGTGGCCTGCCCCGTGATGAGGTAAGACTGGTAGAGATGAGTGTTTGGTTATTGTTTCTTGTTGTATGTGTTGTATGTGTCGTCTCTGGCTTGTGTATCTGTAAGTCTGTTTTGTGCTCGTCTTCGTCGTCGTCCCTGGGTCTATTGTTTCGTGTGGCTACAGTCCCTGCTATTGAATGCCTACTGAACTTCTGATCCACAGCGGCCGCTACGTCGGGAGCGGCCGAATCTATTGACCGGCATGCAGCGCCGCAGACTGCAGCTACGTCAGTCCTCAGGCCTCTTCTGCACCTCAACGCCACGCAAGAGCCGCTCCTACTACGATCAGCGACGTCTGATATGTGCTAGCGATGCAATCTCAGATCAGGAGGAGGATGAGGAAGAGGAAGAAGTCGAGCAAGAGGGTAATGAGCAGGAACCAGAACAGGAGCAGGAGAATGTGGCCGAGGAGCTAGAGGAGGAGGGCACACCGCACTTGTCGAATGCCGCACTGTTGGCTATCACCCGTGGAGTGACCCGCAGGCTGAGCAACGATCCACGCTACAGTTCCCCTAGTTCGGGGTCCACTCCTCAGTTCGCCGGCGGCAAGCGGAAATATCGCAAGGGACGTGTCTCCCTTTGCTTGCACGGCAATATCTTTGCCAGGAGCCGGCCGCTGACGAAGAACACTGCCGCGGCCCATGCAGGAAATCTCAAGCAGCAGCGCGAGAAGCTGAAACAGCAGCGCCTGAATCGCTTCGATCAGGGAAGGCACTTCAACGAGTCCCCTGTGCCGGCAGTCACCTTCCAGCAGTCACCCATCGCAGACAATCTGCTCAGGCACCACCAGGCACCGACGAATGTCACCTATAAGCTCCTCCAGCCGCTGGACCGCTGCGCCAACAATAACTACAGCCAGCACAATCGCAACAAAGAGCAGCAGCAGCAGCAACAGCAGCAGCAGGACCAGCAGCTGCTACTGATGATGGGCCAAACGGTGGTACTAAGGCCAGAAGAGCAGATCCTCGACGATGGATTGCTGCCAGTGGCAGCGACCACATTTAACGTCAGTGAGACCGATAGTACAGATATGTGGCAGCATCGGCAGGGATTCGAGGGGGAGAATATCCAGGCTTGGTTGACGGAATATGCCAGAGAGAGGGAGACCCCAATCGAGATGGAAAACGAGGACAGCCATGGCGGACATTTTGAGCGGTTGTGCAGGGAAACGGAGTCGACGGCACCGTTTGAGCTCCAGCCGCTGCACTACAAAGAGCAGGAGGAGCAGCCAAAGGTCAGATCGGTGCTGCGGCTCAATATTACGGGCACCACCAGCGTGTGCACGACCAATGCCAGCTGTGCCACCAATCTCACCAGTGCCTCGTCGCAAAAGTCCTGTACAATCTACTCCCTGGGGAACATACAGTCGGAGCCCCTGCCGAAAATGACCATCACGCATGTGGAGCAGCGGTTGGTGCACCACGAGCGAAGGACAAAGGCGCTGACGCTGCGTGAACTGTGGTACACCTTCTGTCGCCTCAATCTGCCTGGCCGTCTGATGCTCAGCCTGGCGCTGGCTCTTACGATGATGCTGTGCTCTCAGGTGGCGGACAGGATGGCCGTGGGTGTCACCGCGGCTTTTGGATTACTGCTTTTGGTCCTTTCGCTGAGCTGTGGCAAGTAGATGGATGCCAGAAGGAGAGACGCATACCAGAATAAAGACATAAAACACACACACACACACACAACAAAAAAATACTCAGTTAATAAAAGCTTCTTCCATTCCACAAAACATTATCCCATTGCTTATACACCCGATATATATTTGTTCCATTCGCAGAATTCGCCGCCCAAGCGCCGCCTTAGCAACATGTTCAAGAGGAAATAAATGTAAATAAATGTCCATGTACAGAGAAAAAACCGACGCCAACCAGCATTAAGCCAAATAATTATTAAGAATTCTTGAATATTATTACTTTTTTTTTTGACACACACTAAAGCCTGAAAAAAAAAAAAAACAAATCCACAGAGAGTATACCATGTATATGACGAGGATACAATATATGTTTTTTTCTTGTGTTCAATGTACATACACGAAAAGGATACAATTTTTTTTGTTTAAATAAAAACCAAACCAAATGAAACGAAACAATGCAAAGCAATGCAGTGCCGAATGGAGTCAAAACAATTAAATGCATGTTTATTGTATAGTACCTATGTATCAGCAGTATATGGGTCGGTTGGCCAATGCAATGAGATGCCGAGCCGCATTATCTCAGGTCATGTAAACCGAGATGAACCGCTGTGACAGATAAAACTTATCTTGTGCCATTGGGTAATCATCGGCCCTACAGCCAAACGACGGGGGTAATGCTCTGTTCATTGGGCAAGACAAATGTGGACCTGCCAGCCCACATGGGTGGGGTAATTTTTAATTCCATTTCTCATCATATTCTTACGAGAATTGCCATTTAAGAGACTCCCATTACAGCTAGCGGAACAGACATCGAGAAGATTGGAGGAGACTGGTGATGTTTTGATTTGAAAAGCCCCAAAACAAGTTTTATATTGTTAAAAAGAAAGTTATATCACAATGAGTATAGAACTGTAATAGCCCAAAACTCCGTCGGTTGGGTACATTATTTGTTTCATCAAAGCGGAGAAGGATAAGTAAATAACTACGATGCAGTGTAAGTAACAGAGAGCAGTTGAATTAACACAAAATAAACTAAAACGACTTCCCTTTTTGATAGGGTGGATCTTTCAACACTTGCACCACTTAGCTGGTGGCTTATCAATGGGACGTTGGCGCTGCCGGTGACCGAAAGAAACGGCAAACAAGAAAAAAGAAGTTAAAGAAAACAGGTCTGATACGGACAAGGTGAACAGGAGGCTCGCTTCACCGACCGACCGATCGACCGATCGACTCACTGGCCAACTGGCCCGACAAATCGGAGAGTGTTGCGCGTATGATGCAATGGCAAGGCTAGAGCGACAAAACATATATATTTTTTTTTGTTTATCGCGTAATGAAATGGCTGTAAATGTATGTAAATGCCAGCCTGAGGGGGTAGGGGTAAGTACTAGACACTTTCAACAACAGACGTGAGTAAGCACAAATCAGTGCAAGCGAAAACTGCACCAATAACAAACAACAAGAACAGCCAACTATGTAAATAACAACAATAATAAACGATGTCAAGCACAAAGATCCACAAAAACCATTACATATCATACCAATAAGTAAACAATACTTTAGCTGTAGAATACATCATCTGAAAAACCAAGAGAAAACGAACAACAATAGAGAAAACAAACCATCAACAACAAGCATATCAAATTACAACAATACTATTTTGTAAATTACATAATTGCAACCAACAATAACGAAACTCAACTACAAACCACTTTCCCAAGGAGGATTACCTCCTACAAAAAAAATGATCATCAATTTCAATAGAAACAATACATCAATTGCAGAGCTAAAACAACAAAATTTAAAAAAACCAAAAAGAACTAATGGAAACCCTCACCAATATGAAATCATCGAGATTGCCGAGATTGAATCAGAAGAACACCTTATTCCCTTTTATAGTACAGCTGGTAAGATTGGACATGGGGTGCCCAGTTATATATAGAACCGAAGACCATCAATTGCAAATTTATAGTACTGCTAATCGGATTAAAGACATTCAGACTAAATCGATATTCGTCTTCAGGTTTTGATTGACGAATTCAATTCAATGTTTAAGAATAACTAAATTATTCCTTTGACAACTGTTCAACTCCTTAATACGATCGGGTTAGCGGGTTCCGTTATAATCCGATTTGCCGTCCAATTCTCCACAGTTTATGGATCTGTTTTGATCAAAATATTGTCCTTTGTCCGTTGTCTATTTTTTGGCATTTGTCAGATTTTTGAATTGTTGAAAAGTGAAAGCTGCAACGTAGTTCCATTGTGCATTCCTGTTGGACTGGTGGGGAGATCAGCGTTAGAAAATGCCCCGGTATGCCCCGAGTGCTCCGGTTTGCATTGTTCAACATTGCATTGCCATAGATCATCTGTGGGGATAGGTGTACTGGTCCCGTCCCTCATGCATATTCGTTTATGTTAATGCTCGACGATTACGGCAAGTGTTGGAATTCCATTTCCCAGATGTTAAGTTCTCTAGGGAATCTATATTTAAAACTGTTAAGGGAGCAACGCATGCACGGTACAGGAGGAACAGCCTCACAATTCTTCAGGGTGATGCCTTTAAAGCATCTTTTTAGCAGAACACATCTCTAGAGCATTCCTATCTATGCCTCATCATAATTCATACGCAAAAGGACTTCTTCCTGCAGCGTTTATCGCATTTCCTGAAGGAATAGTTGTTCCATAAGATTGAATGACATTTTGGGGCGAAGGGAAAACCTATCTGCATTACGGCGGCTACTGTCGGAACTCGATATGCAATATGGTTTATGGTTGATTGGTTGGTTGCTGTGTGTTTTGTTTGAATTTCGCCCAAGACGTTATAGACAGCTTTGGCGCATTTAAATGAATCGATGAATCGATGCGACGGCGACTGCGATGGCTGTGGCTGAGGCTGAGGCTGAGGCGGTGGCGGTGGCGGCTGTTGTTGTTTATCAAATTGAATATCTGGTTCCGAGGCAATATATGAATATAATTTCGACTCAACGGCGAGTATTCAAATCAGAGTGTTAGGTCGGGTCGACGATGGGTTGGATTGCGGGGGGAACGGTAGCTCCGATCTCCGATCACCGAGCGCTCCGTAGTTGTTGTTCTTTTGGTTTGGGTTGGTGGTCGGCCCTCTCGGCCGAAGTCAGGCGCGTGCTGTGAGTATTGGGTCCATACGGCGCTATACGAGTATATGTGCCATATACCCCCAATGTCTATATATATACTACATGCCTATATAGCGGCGACCGACCAAACGAAACGCCAGCCAACCAGCCAGACAGCCAGCCAGCCAGCCAGAGGCGATAAAAGCCCCAAGAGATCACCGAAGTAGATCAGTTTAGTTCAGAATTCGCAAACGACCCAAAGGAAACCCCTTAGCTCCACCGACTTTCAACACTCCACACACCCCAGCAGACAGCACCGCACAAGGGAGCACAACCACAGTAGCCACCCTTCCGACAGTCGACCAGAGCGCCCGCAGAGACCGCATTTCTAATGCTCGTCTGGAACGATAAACAGGATACAAACTTTACATTCATTTGAGGCCCCTGGCACCCTGCAACAGACGCCCCAGAACGCTGCAAGGAATTCGATTACCGTCCCGCAAAAAAATACCTGGATATTTTTTTTTTTCTTTTCATTTGACTTTTTGTTGGTTTTTTGTTGAGTGTATCAGTGAAGCGCCTGCCTGGTGATAATGCCCAGCAGTGTTGCCAAGGAGGGCTACCAATTTCAGAGGGCCAATAGCCGCAATCAGCAGAGCAGCAGCTGCCCGAGTAGGAGTGCCAGCGGTTCGCCAGCGGCAGTCACGCCCCCCAGCTGCGACGATGTCGTGGACGAGGCCCTGGCCGAGCTTCAGCTGCAATCGCAGCAGCAGAAGCAGAAGCAGAAGCAGATGATCCATTCAGTCAAGGGCCGCTCCGGCTGGCAGATCAAGTCCTCCAAGCTGGCCTTCAACACACACAATCGCATTCGGAACATTGTGGAGTCGCTGAAGATCAAGCCGAATCCGGAGAAGCCCATGATACCATTGTCCATTGGTGAGTACTTCAAACGAATCAATCGAAATAGGGATCGAGTAGGGAATCCAATCTTATAAGGGATCTCTCAAGATTAACATCATTTAGATTCAAGGGGCTCAAGAGTTTTGGCAGTTCTTTTTCAAATTCTAAAGTATTTCAAGAATCTTAAAAATACATTTCTTTGGATGGTTAAAGATCTATGGGGTTTAAGAGAACAGGAGGTTAAATCTGGCAGTCCTCTAAAGTATTAAAACAACCATTGGAATATACAATTTAGGATTACAAAGATCTATGGGATCTGTTTCTGTTTCAATTTTTGTTCAATATACTATGGAATCCCTGAGGTTATATAATTTTGTTACGGATTCATTGAGTTTTATGAGATACATCTCTCCGATGGGTTATATATCTGTTCTTAAACATTTTAGGCATTGGTTTCTCAATATCCAATCCAATCCATCCGTTTCCTTTAGAATTTATGAGCAAAACTAGAAATATCAACCCCCACTATATGGTATATATTTTATCGCACGATATTGATACTGTAAAACTATATAAGTTGTTGATGGGATATTGAGATGGGGAACCTGATTCCATCCAGAAGTTTATACTCTGACGTTTATGCTCCAAGTTTTTGCGACGGCAAAGCATTTAAATATTTTTGGGTCTCGTCTCTGGCATAAATTGATGAAACTTGTTTGGGCGACCACGAAGACGAAGACTTGAGGCAGTACTTGTCTGCCGGATAATATCTATATATACCATATGTACTATACTATATGATCAGTACATGATCAGTGGATGGGCACACGCCCACAATCATTGACCAATCAGCGATAGTGGCTGTGAGGTCCTCGAACTAGCCAAATCGATGAAAGCAAATCGGTGCGAGTTTCTATTTTTGTGCTAAAATATTCCAGATACCAGATTTATATAAAAACAAATCTGTATTCTTGATTCTGTTGTTGGTTTCGGAATCGGTATCGGTATTTGTTTTAGATACTGTTGCTTTTGTCATATTTTCGCAGCGAGAGGCACGCGCTCTGTATTTGTTTCATTGCGATAAGAATTTGCATAAAATGTAGTTCCACCTGTTTTTTGTGTGCTGCGGACTGGGGCCTGGGAGTCAGGGAACCAGAACATTCGCAGCCTAAGCCTGCCTGTCTGTATCCCCCCCAGAGAGAGTCGGGAATCGCCGCAGCTATAGGCGGAAATAAACGGGTTAATCACCTGATTCCTCATCATTCCTAATGGCTAATCCTCCACATTTCTGCTTGCAGGTGATCCCACAACATTTGGCAACCTAAAGGCCGCCGATGAGACGATGAAAGCGGTGCTGCATTCCCTGGAGAGTGGAAAATTCAATGGATATGCCCACACCCAGGGCCATGAGGCGTCGCGCCAGGCGGTGGCCCAGTACAGTGCCCATCAGCGGCCAGAGGGTGCCATCGAGACGAGCGATGTGGTGCTCTGCAGTGGCTGCTCCTCGGCTTTGGAGTACTGCATCCTGGCGCTGGCCGATCGCGGCCAAAATGTGCTGATACCACGGCCGGGATTCTGTTTGTATCACACTCTGGCCGAGGGCCTGGACATCGAGGTGCGTTATTATGATCTGCTACCCGATCAACAGTGGCGCGCCGATCTCGTCCAGCTGGAGAGCCTGATCGATGAGAATACGGCGGCCCTGCTGATCAATAACCCAAGCAATCCCTGTGGCAGTGTCTTTGATGAGAAGCATTTACGACAGCTGATAGACGTCTGTGAGCGCCACTATCTGCCCATTATAGCCGACGAGGTGAGTGGCCTGTCCAATGTCTAATATCCTATCCACTGTAATCTCTGTTTTTCTCAGATCTACGAGCACTTTGTGTTCCCTGGCTCCAAGCATTTGGCCGTGAGCAGTCTCACCCGAGAGGTGCCTGTCTTGTCGTGCGGCGGCCTCACCAAACGCTTCCTGGTGCCGGGCTGGCGCATGGGCTGGATAATTGTCCACGATCGCAAGCAGCGGCTGGGCAATGCAGTCATCGGCTTGAAGAACATGTGCGGCCGCATCCTCGGCTCGAACACCATCATCCAGGGCGCCCTGCCCGAGATACTGGCCAAGACACCGCAGTCCTACTTCGATGGAGTGATCCAAGTGCTCTACGTAAGTTGAAGATCGGTTGCTTTCTGGCTCTTGGCCACGCTCTAACAGATGGTTTCCCCCTTTGTCCACAGTCGAATGCCAGCTTGGCCTACAAAATGCTCAAACAAGTGCGCGGCCTCAATCCCGTGATGCCGAATGGGGCTATGTACATGATGATTGGCGTGAGCATCGAGCGCTTTCCGGCCTTCAAGGACGACACACACTTCGTGCAGGAGCTGGTGAACGAGCAGAGCGTGTTCTGTCTGCCTGGCAGCTGTTTCGAGTATCCCGGCTATGTGCGGATTGTACTCACAGTGCCGCTGGCAATGATCGAGGAGGCCTGTGTCCGCATAGCCGAGTTCTGCGAGCGTCACTACAAGAAGGAGGACTCATCGCGGTCTTTCATCGAGCATGGCCTGCTCGACGAGGAGGAGCTCGGCTTCTGATCTTCTGATCTGGGAGCAAAACACATTTATTAGATGATCTAGACTACATAAGTATATATACTATATATATATATATATATATATATATCAATCATTAACTATCCAATATAAGGAGTATTGTCTCAAAAAATTGCTGGAAAATTGAAGCGCCGTCCCATCAGCGACTCCGGAGCGAGAGGTGAGTACTCCACCCATCCATTACGCACCGCGAGTGTGTGTTTCGGAACGGTAGAGAGCAAGTAAACTTCGGTTAAGTAAATGGTCAATATATAGAAAGAGAGTGAGTGGAGTACAAAAGGAGCAGTAGGAGGACATCGAAATGCACACCCATCCCGCACACAGCAGCGTATCTGTGGGATGTATCTAGGGGCAGCCTTTTGCCTCTTTCTACATGTGATGCGGATGCATTTTCTTTTCCATTTCGTTCTCCATACGCGCCTCATCGATGCTCGCCACCGATGGCAGGCCGCCCGGCCAATGCAGCAGCTCCTGCTCGTGCTCCATTATCATGTTGGCCTCGGCTGCAGAGAGGGGGTAGATAGATAGATAGATTGATGTGCAACTGTGGTATGTGGTATACGCACCTTGAATGCGATGCAGCTTGCTGCCGTACGCCCAGTCCGTGTAGTAGCCCATGACGAAGGAGAGCGGCAGGAGTGGGGCCAGCGCCGAGAGGCGTTTCGTTCGCTGATAGTAGCTGGCACTGCCATAGATGGCACTCAAGTAGAAGCCGCCCAGCCAGTAGAAGAGCTCCCTGTGCTGGGCAATGGCCAAGGCCTGTTCCCGCTGCTTGATCTGGTAGTGCATCTGTATCCAGCGCTCCATCTACCGTCCAGCGGGGAATACATTCGGGATTTTATTAGTTATGTAAAGCGGAATTGGAAGCTCACCGGAACGAACCTTGAGCTCTTGGCAACGGCGGTAGGCTGGGTCGTCGTGCTCGGGATGGCCACTGCCGGGGGTTTTCTTTCTCGAGGCCGTGGCGCCCATTTCTTTGCTGGTCTTTGTTGGTCTGGTCCTTGGATGACTTGCCTGCCGCCCTGGTCCCTGGTCCGGTCTGGTCTCAGATCTGGCCACTGGAGGACAAAGAGATGCCACCCCGTCGCACTGTCATCGACCCGGTGGCAGGGCGCAGGCGCCGTCTCGCATGGGGGTTGCATCGCAGAGACCTCCTTTTTGACAACTGTCCCCAAAAGCTGGAGCTGCGGAGCTGTCAAAAGGTTAGTTGGCTGACTGTGGCACTGCCTGACTGACTGGCCCCCGAGTCCACGTCCAAGTCCAAGTCCGAAATCCGTGTGTCCGCCTTCGCCCTCGGCGCGTGTTTTAAGTACAAAGAAAAAAAAAGGCACCACTTCTGGGAGCACTTAGCAGAGTATCTCCAGAGAACTCCAGCCCAAAATCATAACCAAAATCCAGAGCCAAAGTCTGGAAATCTGTTGCCTGGACACACGGTTCCCCCCGCCTCAAACGCGTGGCCTTCGATCGTTCGTTCGTTGTTTGTTTGTTGTATCATCTGCTGGTGCTGGTGCTGGTACTGGTACTGGTACTGGTGCTAGTGCTTTTTGTTTGATTAGCCAGCTTGTTGGAAGAGTGACGGCCTGCTGCACCCAAATGTGGAGCACCTCATTAATGTGGCTTCTGTGATAGAAAATCGCGCGAACTTCGCTCTCCTTCTCCTCCTTCTCCTTATCCTTATCCTTGCATCCCAATCCATACTTCAATCCATACACAAAACCTTAAACGGTCGGAGTCCCGGACCCTCAACGACCCAACGACACACGGCAACCAAAAGGCCACATACCGCCACGCGAAAAGTGAGTAGAAGTGACGGGGTCTGTTGCTGATTTTGATCCGGAATGGGGTACGGCTATACGGGGCTATACGGCTATACGGGGCTATACGGCTCTATACGGCTATTGGAATATATGAATGGATGTGAATATGTATATATATGTACATGTATGTATATGTATGCAGGTGTTGGTAATGGCAATGGGGCTGCCTGAGAAAGAGAGAGAGAGAGAGAGAGAGAGTGAGTGTCTTTGGGGTGGCTCTGATGTATGTATAAGTATATGTACATTAAGATGGGGCTTCTCAGCTCATTCGGGGGTTGCAAACGCCTCCCACCCCCCCACATTTGTCCCACACCCACTGGTGAATGTTTCGGTTTGAGTCCGTGAATGGTTACGGTGCTGGTTGCTCTGGGCTTGAGTTTGGGTGTGATTGCATGAGTCGGGGTGAGTGGGTGTGTGTGGGTGTGTGTGGGTGTATGGGTGAGTGCACCTTCATAGTGCCACTGCTACTACTACCTTGGCAGCTGTTCGAATGTAAATATTGACAAAGGTCTTCGGTCTAATTGCCGCCTGTGTGCCGCCCCATCATCCATCTCTACGCCGCTCCACTGTGCATGGTAGAGTGAATCCTGTGTTCCGAGTGCGAAACATCTAAAACATTCAGCTGCAAATGATTCACTTTTTTGTGTCTCATCTCGCCTCTGTGTGGACTGCCGGACAAAGAACCCACTCCACATTTAGCAGGGAGGCAATGTGCCACTTCAGTAGATTTAATCATACTCATAAACTCATTAAAAAGTTAGCCAGAAATTATAAAACAAATGTATGATTCCTTGGAAATGCAAAAGCATGAGGAGCATGAGCTCATTAAATTCAAAAGAATCGAACAAAAAGGAGGGATATTGTTGGGGCACTGAAGCATTTAAGAACCTTTCGAGTACAGCTTTTAGTGGGCTAAGTAAAATCATAAGAAACGGGTAAAACAAATGTTTGGAGCATTATTTCTTATGGCAGCTATATGATACAATCATCCGATTTGGATTACTTATATTTTTGCCACATATTTTCTATGGGATCTGTATATGGGATAGTGCGCCAATGCAATCCATCTGGGTGGATGGATGCATCGTTGATGGTATACTCGCACTCGCACTCTCATTCACCATTCCACCTTCTCTCTTTTTTCTCTGTTTCGCAGCGACAATAATAAGTTACGGAACGACCAGGGGGCAGGATGCGCTGTTTGAATGATTGACCGCCTTCAGATTCGTCGCTTGGGTGCAGCTGCTAGAAACAAACGCGCAGGAGGAGGAGGAGGAGGCGGAGCAGGGCAGGGCGCAGCAGCAGCATCAGCCGCAGGAGCAGCAGGTGCATCTGGTGCATCTAGTGCAGGAGCAGCAGCAGCGGGTGGCAGTGGCAGCGGCAGCGGCGGAGGAGGTGGAGGTGGAGGCATCGCCACAAGCAGCGGCGGCGGCAGCGGCAGCTTCCATTCCCGTTCGCATTCGGCCAGCGGCATCAATACGCCGGCAACGGCCAGCACCAGCTCCTCCAGCGGCAACAGCTTGACCCCCCAGCAGCAACAGCAGCATCCACATCCAGCACACGCTCATCCACTTACCCATCCGCACCACCATCCCCACCCGCATCCACATCCCCATCCCCTCCATCATCCGCACCCGCATCCCCTCCACCATCCGCACCCACATCCCCTCCATTCCCATCCGCATCCACACCTGCGGCACACGCAGCAGGCGGCGACCGGCAGCCAGTTCACCTTCAATCCATCGCCCGGCAGCAGTCCTGGCAACGGACTGCCAGGAGCTCGCCAGGATGCGGCCAGTGCGCTCAACAGTCCAACGACCATTGTGAACTCGGGCAGCGGGAGCGGCGGCGGCAGCAGCACCCTCGCCTACGGGATGCAGCAGCCGCTGCAGCAACAGCAGCAGGCCGGCGGCTCATCGACCACGGCGGCCCCATCCACCACGGGGCTGGGCAGCAGTCAGGCCGCCAGCAGTGGGCACAATAATGGCGCCGGGCTCGGTATGGGTCTCGGTATGGGGCTGGCCGCCGGAGGAATCGGAGTCGGTGTCGGCGGTGGCGGTGGCGGAGGCCTCAATCTGCTCGGCGGCATCGGTGGCCTTGGCAGCATGGGCGGCGGTGCCGCCGCCGCCGGCCTGGGCATCTGCGGTGGCATTAGCAGCACTGTCGGCAGTGCGGCCATTACGGGAGTGCCGCCCATCGGCCTGGGGATTGCGACCGGCATCGGGAACAAAATCATGCTGGGGCGCAAACAGAGCCTCAAGGGCGGCGAGCCCTTCCTGGCCGACTACGGGCCGGAGGAGTCACTCAATGAGAGCGCCGACATCGAGTGGGTCAACAAGCTGTGGGTGCGCCGCCTGATGCGTCTCTGTGCCTTGGTCTCGCTGACCTCCGTATCCCTGAACACGCCCAAAACCTTCGAGCGTTACCCGTCGTTGCAGTACATTACGTTCGTCTCGGACACGGCCGTCACGCTGCTCTTCACCGCCGAAATGATAGCCAAAATGCACATCCGCGGTGTGCTCCATGTGAGTACACACAATCGCCATGTTTCCCCCGTGTTTGGTGTCTTGAAATCTAATCCTGTTACCCATTGACAGGGGGAGGTGCCTTACCTGAAGGATCATTGGTGCCAGTTCGATGCTTCCATGGTGAGCTTCCTGTGGATCTCCATTATTCTTCAGATATTCGAGGTGCTCGAGATAGTTCCCAAGTAAGTGTGTTCCTTTGAGTTCGAGTACGAACGTATATGACCATCGAGTGTATACTCGTTGCAAACACTCGTTGCAAGCACTCGTTGCAAGCACTCGTTGTAAACACTCGTTGCAAACACAAATTTACAATCAATTTCCATGTTTTATATCCCAAAATTTAAGAGATATAATTATGTGATATATATCGCGTGGATACTCGTTGCAAACACTCGTTGCAAAAACAAATTTGCATTTAATTTCCATTTCTGATACACCAAATTTAAAAGATACATTTATATATATGTGATGTATAGAGTGGCTGAAACTCGCTGCAATTATTTCATTATATTTTCCATATCTGGTAAGCCAAATTTAAGAGATATACCTGCGATTTACTGGATACTCATTGCAATCACTCGTTGTAAACCCTAATTTACATTCAATTTCCATATTTTATATCCCACAATTTAATAGATATTTCAAGAGTATACTCGTTAAAAACACTCGTTGTAATCACTCGTTGTAACACTCGTTTTAAACCCCAATTTTAATTCAATTATATTCTTCCGTATCTTGTATCCCAGCATTTAAGAGATATATCTATGTTATATATCGAGTGGATACTCATTGTAAACAGTAATTTTCATTCAATATTCATATCTTGCATTCCACATTTAAGAGCTATATCTATCTTCAATCCAGCACAGACCCTTCTCACATATATTTCTCTCATTTCCTTAGGTTTTCCTACCTCTCCATCATGCGTGCCCCACGGCCACTGATCATGATCCGTTTCCTGCGTGTCTTCCTTAAGTTTAGCATGCCGAAGAGTCGAATCAATCAGATCTTTAAGTGAGTATTTTTCACATTTCTTTAAAAGTTTGCAAAAAACTAATGCTATTCTGTGCCCTTCCCCTATAGACGATCGAGTCAACAGATATATAATGTAACGCTGTTCTTCCTGTTCTTCATGTCCCTCTACGGACTGTTGGGCGTTCAGTTCTTTGGCGAACTGAAGAATCACTGTGTGATGAACAATACGGAGTATGATCTGCTGGGCAGACCGTAAGTATTATCTTTGATATTCCACACATAAAATACAATTAATTTTTGGTCTTCATTTTGCAGAGTTTTGACCATCAATTCGCTGGCCATACCGGACACCTTTTGCTCCATGGATCCGGACTCGGGGTATCAGTGCTCGCCGGGTATGCGGTGCATGAAGATGGACTTTCTCAGCAGCTATGTAATTGGATTCAATGGTTTCGAGGATATTGCCACGAGTATCTTTACGGTGTACCAGGCGGCCTCGCAGGAGGGCTGGGTGTTCATCATGTACCGGGCCATAGACTCACTGCCAGCCTGGCGGGCAGCCTTTTACTTTAGCACAATGATCTTCTTCCTGGCGTGGCTGGTGAAAAATGTGTTCATAGCTGTCATCACGGAGACCTTCAACGAGATACGCGTACAGTTCCAGCAGATGTGGGGCGCACGCGGTCACATCCAGAAGACGGCCGCCTCCCAGATACTGAGCGGCAACGATTCCGGCTGGCGGCTGGTCACCATCGATGACAACAAGCACGGCGGACTGGCGCCAGAGACGTGCCATGCTATACTCCGATCCCCGTACTTCCGGATGCTGGTGATGACTGTGATCCTGGCCAATGGCATTGTGACGGCCACCATGACGTTCAAGCACGATGGCCGGCCACGTTCGGTGTTCTACGAGCGCTACTACTACATCGAGCTGGTGTTCACGTGCCTGCTCGACCTGGAGACCCTCTTCAAGATCTACTGCCTTGGCTGGCGGGGCTACTACAAGCATTCGATACACAAATTCGAACTGCTTTTGGCGGCGGGCACCACCCTGCACATTGTGCCCATGTTCTATCCGTCCGGGCTGACATACTTCCAGGTGCTGCGGGTGGTGCGACTGATCAAGGCCTCACCGATGCTGGAGGGCTTCGTCTACAAGATCTTTGGGCCGGGCAAGAAGCTCGGATCGTTGATTATCTTCACCATGTGCCTGCTGATCATCAGCTCCAGCATTTCGATGCAGTTGTTTTGCTTCCTGTGCGACTTCACCAAGTTCGAGTCGTTCCCGGAGGCGTTCATGAGCATGTTCCAGATCCTCACCCAGGAGGCCTGGGTGGAGGTAATGGACGAGACAATGATACGCACCAGCAAGACCCTCACACCGCTGGTCGCGGTCTACTTCATACTCTACCATCTGTTTGTCACCCTCATTGTGCTCAGTCTGTTCGTGGCGGTCATTTTGGATAACTTGGAGCTGGACGAGGACATCAAGAAGCTGAAGCAGCTCAAATTTCGCGAACAAAGCGCCGAGATCAAGGAGACCCTACCCTTCCGTCTGCGCATATTCGAGAAGTTCCCGGACTCCCCACAGATGACGATACTACATCGCATACCCAACGATTTTATGCTGCCCAAGGTACGTGAGAGCTTCATGAAGCACTTTGTGATCGAGCTGGAGACGGAGGATCCCTCCCTGGTGGAGAACTGCAAGCGACCCATGTCCGAGTGCTGGGAATCGAATGTTGTCTTTCGCAAGCAAAAGCCTGTGCGGATTATGAACAAGACAGCGAAGGTAAGGGCTGCCGGCAGCAGTCTCCGCAAGCTGGCCATCACGCACATCATCAAGTGAGTAGCACCCCCTCCAAGACACCCTCCCCTTCGGCAGCTAAAGCTAATTCTCTCTTCAATCCATGCAGTGACAGCAATAATCAACGTTTAATGCTGGGCGACTCGGCCATGTTACCTGTGGTGGGGACCAAGGGCGGCGGTGGCCTCAAATCGCAGGGCACCATCACCCACTCGAAGCCGTGGCGCGTCGATCAAAAAAAGTGAGTAGCTGGGCCCACCCTGCCCCTGCCTTTGATGTGTGTCCACTACCAATCCACAGGTTCGGCTCTCGTTCCATTCGTCGCAGCGTTCGCTCGGGCTCCATCAAGCTGAAGCAGACGTACGAGCATCTGATGGAGAACGGGGATATTGCGGCCGCCCCGAGGGCGAATTCGGGTCGGGCCAGGCCCCACGATCTGGACATTAAGCTGCTGCAGGCGAAGCGCCAGCAGGCAGAGATGCGACGCAATCAGCGGGAGGAGGATCTAAGAGAGAATCATCCGTTCTTTGATACGCCGCTGTTTCTGGTGCCGCGGGAGAGTCGCTTCCGAAAGATATGCCAGAGGATTGTCCATGCCCGCTACGATGCCAGGCTAAAGGATCCGCTGACGGGCAAGGAGCGCAAGGTCCAGTACAAGAGTTTGCAGTAAGTCCATGTCCATTCCATCCAGGAGATCCCCACCAAAGAGAAGGTTAATAATCCTTTTTTCTGCTCGCTTCGTTTTAGCAACTTTCTGGGCCTGGTCACGTACCTGGACTGGGTGATGATATTCGCCACGACGCTCTCCTGCATCTCGATGATGTTCGAGACGCCCAACTATCGGGTAATGGATCATCCGACGCTGCAGATAGCCGAGTATGGCTTCGTGATCTTCATGAGTCTTGAGCTGGCCCTCAAGATACTCGCCGACGGTCTGTTCTTTACGCCCAAGGCGTACATCAAGGATGTGGCAGCGGCCCTCGATGTGTTCATCTATGTGGTATCCACATCGTTTCTGTGCTGGATGCCACTCAACATACCCACCAATTCGGCAGCACAGCTCCTCATGATCCTGCGCTGTGTGCGTCCCCTGCGGATCTTCACCCTGGTGCCGCACATGCGCAAGGTCGTCTACGAGCTGTGCCGCGGCTTCAAGGAGATCCTCTTGGTATCCACGCTCCTCATACTCCTCATGTTCATCTTTGCCAGTTATGGGGTACAGCTCTATGGCGGACGGCTGGCCCGTTGCAACGATCCCACTATCCCAAGGCGAGAGGATTGCGTTGGCGTCTTTATGCGCAGGGTTTTTGTGACGAAAATGAAGCTGACACCGGGTCCCGACGAGTCCTATCCGGCCATGCTGGTGCCGCGGGTGTGGGCCAATCCCCGGCGCTTCAATTTCGACAATATCGGGGACGCCATGCTGACGCTGTTCGAGGTTCTATCCTTCAAGGGCTGGCTGGACGTGCGCGATGTTCTCATCAAGGCTGTGGGTCCGGTAAGAAAATGGCACTCTCTTTCGCTTACTCTTAATCTTTCTCTGATTTCTTCACGTGACTTTTGTGTGTGTCTTAACCTAGGTCCATGCCGTCTATATCCACATCTACATCTTCTTGGGCTGCATGATCGGCCTCACCCTGTTCGTGGGCGTGGTCATTGCCAATTATTCGGAGAACAAAGGCACCGCCCTGCTCACCGTCGACCAGCGACGATGGTGTGACCTCAAGAAGCGACTGAAGATTGCCCAGCCGTTGCACTTGCCGCCGCGACCCGATGGACGCAAGATCCGTGCCTTCACCTACGACATCACGCAGCACATCATCTTCAAGCGGGTGATCGCTGTGGTGGTGCTGATCAACAGCATGCTGCTCTCCATAACGGTGCGTCTCTGGGGAAGGGTCTTTTTACTGGGGACTTAGAGCCGCAAATTGTCTGCTTTGAGAGCGCGGGTATTCTATTGTCTTTATTCTGTACTTACATGCAGTGGATCAAGGGCGAGGTGCATACGGAACGCCTGGTGATCGTCAGTGCGGTCCTGACCTTTGTCTTTGTGGTTGAGGTGGTGATGAAGAACATTGCCTTTACACCGCGCGGCTATTGGCAATCTAGGCGCAATCGATATGATCTACTCGTCACCGTTGCCGGCGTCATTTGGATTATATTACAGACGATATTGAGGGTAAGTTTGGATCCGATTCCTGACACACCGTCACACTGCCGCACAATTTGAAACACCTTTCGAACCCATGTCTGAACTTTGACCTTTGATAGAACGATCTGTCGTACTTCTTTGGCTTCATGGTGGTCATCCTGCGCTTCTTCACCATCACCGGCAAGCACACCACACTGAAGATGCTCATGTTGACCGTGGGCGTGTCTGTATGCAAGTCCTTCTTCATTATTTTTGGCATGTTTCTGCTGGTATTCTTCTATGCGCTGGCCGGGACCATACTCTTTGGTGAGCCATCTCCGATTTCGTCTGGAAACCCATGCTGATATTCCTCTCAATTTGTGTGTCATTCCAGGCACCGTGAAGTACGGCGAGGGCATTGGAAGGCGGGCAAATTTCGGTTCACCTGTGACCGGGGTGGCCATGCTCTTTCGGATTGTCACTGGCGAGGATTGGAACAAAATCATGCACGACTGTATGGTCCAGCCGCCGTACTGTACTCTGGGTAACAACTATTGGGAGACGGATTGTGGCAATTTTACGGCCAGTCTGATATACTTTTGCACCTTCTACGTGATCATTACGTACATTGTGCTCAATCTTTTAGTGGGTACGTGTGCCTGTCGGCTCTTGGTCTTTGGTTACTTAAGAACTCTCCTCAAATTCCAGCTATTATCATGGAGAACTTTTCGCTGTTCTACTCGAATGAAGAGGACGCATTGCTCTCGTATGCGGATATACGCAATTTTCAGAACACCTGGAACATTGTCGACATTCACCAGCGGGGCGTGATACCCGTGCGGCGCGTGAAGTTCATACTGCGCCTGCTCAAGGGTCGACTCGAGTGCGATCCGCAAAAGGATCGCCTGCTGTTCAAGTATATGTGCTATGAGCTGGACAAGCTGCACAATGGCGAGGATGTCACCTTCCACGATGTCATCAAGTGAGTGCGAGCATCCTTGGAGTCCTTGGAATCCAATCAATCTTTATATCAAATTTTGTTTTGCAGCATGCTGAGTTATCGCTCGGTGGACATACGCAAGGCTCTGCAGCTGGAGGAGCTGTTGGCGCGCGAGGAGTTCGAGTACCTGGTGGAGGAGGAGGTGGCCAAAATGACCATACGCACCTGGCTGGAGGGTTGCCTCAAAAAGATACGAGCCCAAAATGCCAGCGTAAGCATGCGACATCTACAATATTCTTACGGGTATCCTCTAATTGTCTTCTACGATTTTCCACGTATAGAAGCAGCAAAACTCGTTGATTGCTGGACTGAGGGCCACCAATGAGCAGCCCGTGATGCGGCCGAATGTACAGGAGGATAAGGCGCCCATTGGGACGGCGGATAAGCCGGCCATCAGCACAATAAGCGGAGCAGTGGCGGGCACGTGTCCGCCGACCAGCGATGCCTTCTCGCCGACCTTCAGCTCGACGGAGAATGAGGAGAAGGATGCCAGCAGCAGTGCCGTGGCACTGCCCCACTCGGAGCCGATTCCCGTTGTGGCCACGGTGGCGACAGCCCCGTCGGCAGCCCGTCACGTGATGTCGGTGGGCAAGCGGGCCTATGCCCTCAATCGTTCCGACTCAACGGGCAGTTCGGCGGGTCGCAAGTTCCTGGCACCCACCTCCAGTGATCCGCAGCAGCGCTCAACGCTGAGCGACAAGGAGCGGCTGCATATCAGCAGCCAGCAGCGGAAGAAGAACTCGATGACCACACTGCCGCATGCTGGACAGCTGGGGCAGCTGGGCAAGCAACGGGGAGGGGTGAGCAGCGACTCGGCCAGCAAGTCGGCCAGCTTCTTTGCTCAGCTGAATAGCGAGATTGGCCAGTTCCACTATCCGACAATAAACGCTGCCGCCGCCTACGGCCATGGCCTGGATCAGCACCATCATCTTCACCATCATCAGCAGCAGCAGCAGCATCAGCATTCGCATCAGCATCAGCATCAGCATCACGGGGGTGGTGCCGGTGCCATCGGCAGTCCCTCGGCGATGATGAGCCAAATGATCGGTGGCAGTGGGAAGCTGTTGCCATTCAACAATCAGGCGAATGCCGTCTACGAGGTGCACGACTGGTGGCAGGAGCAGGTACTCTGCACCCAGACCAGCGACGACGAGATCTAGCCAAACGACGAGATCGATCTGGATGTGGATGTAGATCTGGATCTGGATCTGGATCTTGATCAGAGCTGGATTAGATCGTGTAGTCCAATCGGAGCCTATTAACATTATAAACTAGTGGCCTAGAGTTTTATATATATAAAAAAAATGCCTAAGTGTGTAATGCAAAATGTACATGTATCCGAGGCCTGAGAACGGTTAACACTTACCATAATTACGATAATAGCTATAGCGATATAGAGGATATATGATATATATAAATGATATATGAGATATGGGAAGATATAGCGGGTTAGATAGAGAGAGAGACACATAGGCGGACAAAAACCACAATTAGTTTCTATGTTCTGTTGTTGTTTGTGCGCTAGATGGATCAGATCAGTCTTTGTTATAGCTTAAATATATACAAAGAGATACTATATACAACATATAGTATATATATATTATATATATGCAATATGCGCAAATGGATGCAAGTACGACGTATAGTGCAAATTTATATAGCGAGAGCGGAGGCATAGAATTTCGTCAACTAGCCAAAAACAAAAACAAAAAAAACAAGCAAAAAAAGCAATTCACTACAACTAAAACTCTTATGTATGGAAATCGCCAGAGATATAGAGAGAGCCCCCACCCTCCCCTTTCATTCGAGGGATGCCAATCTTTATACTAAAAAAATACTTGATTCTAGATAGACAAAAAGAAAACGAACATATACCGGGGCACGCTCGAAAGGGTGAACAAAACCCAAAACAACCGAAGTGAACCGATTCAGAAGCCAAGAAGCATTAGTTATGCTTTTTATATTACATATAGCCTCATATTACCTCATAAAAAAAAGTGGCAAAAATGGCATTCGGCAAGAAGCAGAAGCAGAAGCAGTTCCTGCCACCCATAAAAATACAAATAAAAGAAAACAAATATACATATAATATATAGCCATTGTAGCAGCCACATGTTAATAGATTATATCCAGCTTGAAAGCATATATCTGTTGTCCCCTCAGTTGTACAGCCGCCCTTGTGTACCCAGGGCGGGTCTTACCTCAGAGCCTGTTTTGTAACCAATCATGACACCAAAAGATCGTAACATTATAGGTCATACAAGATATATAGCTGCCATAGGAATACCATACCATAGTCAATGATGGAATGATTGAATGATTGGAAGATAAGAATTTTAAATGAGAATAACTTTTTAGTTATTGACCCGAAAGAAAGTAGAAGAAAAGTAATTCAATCAAAGTTTACAAGTTGTATGACAGAAACAAAATGTAAATCGTAAATCGTAAATCGTAAAACGTAAAACGCGTAGATCGTATAGGTATCGTATGTATATCGTAAATCGTTAAAATCAGTGAAATCAAAATTGGGATCAGTGTTGTGTATCCCTATAGAATCTATCTATCTATGTATGTAAGAACGATAAGGATAGAAAACTGCCAAGAAAAGTAAGCCTTCATAAATTTACTTTAAATTGAATTCGCAACGCACAAATGTTTGCAATAATTGAACATAATTGTCAAAGCACAACAACAACAACAACATGTTTGAAGACTGTACCTTGTGTTACATAATCATTGGAGAAAAATGCCCAGAAAACAAACAAGCCTATAACTAACACTTTTCCATTGCCCCACAATGAAATATCATAAACGTACTATTGATGAAGAGATATTCTTAACATAATCGTTATTAATTGTGTACAATCCACCATCGAAATCGAAAACAAACAAAAAACATATAGGTGCAATCATTAGGGAAAATTGTTATAGGAGCAAATATATAGTACATACTTGACTTGACTTTCTTCGGTTCGTTCACTCTGTCGAGCGTGCACTGTATACGGGTGCAACAAATTACACAGAAAGACAGACACAACAGAGAACAGAGAACACAGAACACATACTACTATAGAACGAGATGCCTATTATCAAAGACTATACAATACCTTCTGACCATGGCTGGTCTGAATCATGCCCAAGCTGTGTAGATATTTTTGCTATCTTGCGACCTAAAAGGGTCCCGAGTCCCGAGTCTCGATCTATGTACGTTGTGTGTCGCCAAAGACTGTGTATTTTTTGCTAAAGAACAACCGGACAGAAAATTACGTCGCTTTAAAGCCTTTGTATTTGTTGAAGGATTCTGAGACCCAGACGAGCTGAGCAGCCGAACACGGGTATATAGGGGGGGAGGGCGTAATAAAAAAACATCTTTTTGGTCGCTCATGCAACACCTTGGTATTGTATAGTCTTTGCTATTATCTATTAAATGTTTTGTGGATAGCGAAAACATCAAGAACAACTCAGCACAAATGAATATTAAAGTTATTATTATTATTATTACTCTCTTACCGACAAAATGTGTCCGCAAGCAAATGCAAAATGCCAAATGCAAAAGCAAAGCTCCATTCAATGCGACTACACCGAAAAAAGAAGCGTAATAAAAACAAAAAATCGTTGAAATTGCAAAACGTTTTAAAAAAAAACGACGACTACTCTTGAATGGTTCGGTTCAATGGGTCATGAATTGAATGGTTGGTTGAGTGACAGAATGCTGTCTGTGTTGAACGTGAGCCCTTGGCCCTGACGTTCAACTGCATACAGCCGATGGCTTACGCAAGTCGATGCCGATGGGCATGGACAGGGCGACAGGCTTATGGAATCCGGAGCGTGCTTGGATCGGGGCCAACGCATCCGTCGGGGAATAGATCGAGCTAACGCTTTCGTGACGTCGATGGAATGCAAATTTTAGCACAGACCCGAACCTGACAAACGCCCTGGGGGCGGTATACCCTTAAATATGGTATCTGTGTGGGCGGGAAAGCTCAGTATCGAGGGTGTCGCTCGAGTGCACGGATCGCCCCCCAAAACAGGATACAGGACACAGGATAAACGCTGGCAAAAGCAAAAGGCAGCAACACGTTGACAAGATGCAACTGTTCGTCATTTGCCTTCTGGCGGCCACCACAGCCGCCTTTACCCTCTTCGGGCCACACATTCGCATCGTTCCGGGCGCGAAGCCGAACGAGATTTTACTCCACTTCCGTAATCCCTGCAATAATAAGACCAGCACCACGACCCTAAGGCCGCCGCAGCCACCCTGCAAGCAGCATCCCACCACGCCGGCCTGCGAGCACAGGATCACCAGTCCAGCGCCCACGAAGACACCTTGCCCGCACGACACGACAACTCCACACCACTGCGGCACCCCACTCCCAACCACCCCGTCCAGTGACTGCGGACACAGCACGACAACTCCGCACGACTGCGGGCCAGGTCCCACGACAAGCAGGGCTACCACCCCCAAGCCAACATTCGAAACCACAATAAAGACAACCCATAAGACCACGACTCCGACACCAACACAGTCAACGACTGCCAAGCCCACAGATGCAACAACCAAGCCGACGACTCTGAAACCATCAGAGACAACGACTGCCAAACCCACAGATGCAACAACCAAGCCGACGACTCTGAAACCATCAGAGACAACGACTGCCAAACCCACAGATGCAACAACCAAGCCGACGACTCTGAAACCATCAGAGACAACGACTGCCAAACCCACAGATGCAACAACCAAGCCGACGACTCTGAAACCATCACAGACAACGACTGCCAAACCCACAGATGCAACAACCAAGCCGACGACTCTGAAACCATCAGAGACAACGACTGCCAAACCCACAGATGCAACAACCAAGCCGACGACTCTGAAACCATCAGATACAACGACTGCTAAGCCCACAGATGCAACAACCAAGCCGACGACTCTGAAACCATCAGAGACAACGACTTCCAAATCCACAGATGCAACAACCAAGCCGACGACTCTGAAACCATCAGAGACAACGACTGCCAAACCCACAGATGCAACAACCAAGCCGACGACTCTGAAACCATCAGAGACAACGACTGCCAAACCCACAGATGCAACAACCAAGCCGACGACTCTGAAACCATCAGAGACAACGACTGCCAAACCCACAGATGCAACAACCAAGCCGACGACTCTGAAACCATCAGAGACAACGACTGCCAACCCCACAGATGCAACAACCAAGCCGACGACTCTGAAACCATCAGAGACAACGACTGCCAAACCCACAGATGCAACAACCAAGCCGACGACTCTGAAACCATCAGAGACAACGACTGCAAAGCCTACAGATGCAACAACCAAGCCGACGACTCTGAAACCATCAGAGACAACGACTGCCAAACCAGCAGATGCAACAACCAAGCCGACGACTCTTAAACCATCAGAGACAACGACTGCCAATCCCACCGATGCAACAACCAAGCCGACGACTCTGAAACCATCAGATACAACGACTGCCAAACCCACAGATGCAACAACCAAGCCGACGACTCTGAAACCATCAGAGACAACGACTGCCAAACCCACAGATGCAACAACCAAGCCGACGACTCTGAAACCATCAGAGACAACGACTGCCAAACCCACAGATGCAACAACCAAGCCGACGACTCTGAAACCATCAGAGACAACGACTGCCAACCCCACAGATGCAACAACCAAGCCGACGACTCTGAAACCATCAGAGACAACGACTGCCAAACCCACAGATGCAACAACCAAGCCGACGACTCTGAAACCATCAGAGACAACGACTGCAAAGCCTACAGATGCAACAACCAAGCCGACGACTCTGAAACCATCAGAGACAACGACTGCCAAACCAGCAGATGCAACAACCAAGCCGACGACTCTTAAACCATCAGAGACAACGACTGCCAATCCCACCGATGCAACAACCAAGCCGACGACTCTGAAACCATCAGATACAACGACTGCCAAACCCACAGATGCAACAACCAAGCCGACGACTCTGAAACCATCAGAGACAACGACTGCCAAGCCCACAGATGCAACAACCAAGCCGACGACTCTTAAACCATCAGAGACAACGACTTCCAAGCCCACAGATGCAACAACCAAGCCGACGACTCTTAAACCATCAGAGACAACGACTTCCAAACCCACAGATGCAACAACCAAGCCGACGACTCTGAAGCCATCAGATACAACGACTGCCAAGCCCACAGATGCAACAACCAAGCCGACGACTCTGAAACCATCAGAGACAACGACTGCCAAACCCACAGATGCAACAACCAAGCCGACGACTCTTAAACCATCAGAGACAACGACTGCCAAAACCACAGATGCAACAACCAAGCCGACGACTCTGAAACCATCAGAGACAACGACTGCCAAGCCCACAGATGCAACAACCAAGCCGACGACTCTGAAGCCATCAGAGACAACGACTGCCAAACCCACAGATGCAACAACCAAGCCGACGACTCTGAAACCATCAGAGACAACGACTGCCAAACCCACAGATGCAACAACCAAGCCGACGACTCTGAAACCATCAGAGACAACGACTGCCAAACCCACAGATGCAACAACCAAGCCGACGACTCTGAAGCCATCAGAGACAACGACTGCCAAACCCACAGATGCAACAACCAATCCGACGACTCTGAAACCATCAGAGACAACGACTGCCAAACCCACAGATGCAACAACCAAGCCGACGACTCTGAAGCCATCAGAGACAACGACTGCCAAACCCACAGATGCAACAACCAATCCGACGACTCTGAAACCATCAGAGACATCCACTGCCAAACCCACAGATGCAACAACCAAGCCGACGACTCTGAAACCATCAGAGACAACGACTGCCAAAGCCACAGATGAAACAACCAAGCCGACGACTCTGAAGCCATCAGAGACAACGACTGCCAAACCCACAGCTGCAACAACCAAGCCGACGACTCTGAAACCATCAGAGACAACGACTGCCAACCCCACAGATGCAACAACCAAGCCGACGACTCTGAAACCATCAGAGACAACGACTGCTAAGCCTACAGATGCAACAACCAAGCCGACGACTCTGAAATCATCAGAGACAACGACTGCCAAACCCACAGATGCAACAACCAAGCCGACGACTCTGAAACCATCAGATACAACGACTGCCAAACCCACAGATGCAACAACCAAGCCGACGACTCTGAAACCATCAGAGACAACGACTGCCAAACCCACAGATGCAACAACCAAGCCGACGACTCTGAAACCATCAGAGACAACGACTGCCAAACCCACAGATGCAACAACCAAGCCGACGACTCTGAAACCATCAGAGACAACGACTGCCAAACCCACAGATGCAACAACCAAGCCGACGACTCTGAAGCCATCAGAGACAACGACTGCCAAACCCACAGATGCAACAACCAAGCCGACGACTCTGAAACCATCAGAGACAACGACTGCCAAACCCACAGATGCAACAACCAAGCCGACGACTCTGAAACCATCAGAGACAACGACTGCCAATCCCACCGATGCAACAACCAAGCCGACGACTCTGAAACCATCAGATACAACGACTGCCAAACCCACAGATGCAACAACCAAGCCGACGACTCTGAAACCATCAGAGACAACGACTGCCAAACCCACAGATGCAACAACCAAGCCGACGACTCTGAAACCATCAGAGACAACGACTGCCAAACCCACAGATGCAACAACCAAGCCGACGACTCTGAAACCATCAGAGACAACGACTGCTAAGCCTACAGATGCAACAACCAAGCCGACGACTCTGAAACCATCAGATACAACGACTGCTAAGCCCACAGATGCAACAACCAAGCCGACGACTCTGAAACCATCAGAGACAACGACTGCCAAACCCACAGATGCAACAACCAAGCCGACGACTCTGAAACCATCAGAGACAACAACTGCCAAACCCACAGATGCAACAACCAAGCCGACGACTCTGAAACCATCAGAGACAACGACTGCCAATCCCACCGATGCAACAACCAAGCCGACGACTCTGAAACCATCAGAGACAACAACTGCCAAACCCACAGATGCAACAACCAAGCCGACGACTCTGAAACCATCAGAGACAACGACTGCCAAGCCCACAGATGCAACAACCAAGCCGACGACTCTGAAACCATCAGAGACAACGACTGCCAATCCCACCGATGCAACAACCAAGCCGACGACTCTGAAACCATCAGAGACAACGACTGCTAAGCCTACAGATGCAACAACCAAGCCGACGACTCTGAAACCATCAGAGACAACGACTGCCAAAGCCACAGATGCAACAACCAAGCCGACGACTCTGAAGCCATCAGAGACAACGACTGCCAAACCCACAGATGCAACAACCAAGCCGACGACTCTGAAACCATCAGAGACAACGACTGCCAAACCAACAGATGCAACAACCAAGCCGACGACTCTGAAACCATCAGAGACAACGACTGCCAATCCCACCGATGCAACAACCAAGCCGACGACTCTGAAACCATCAGAGACAACGACTGCTAAGCCTACAGATGCAACAACCAAGCCGACGACTCTGAAACCATCAGAGACAACGACTGCCAAACCCACAGATGCAACAACCAAGCCGACGACTCTGAAGCCATCAGAGACAACGACTGCCAAACCCACAGATGCAACAACCAAGCCGACGACTCTGAAGCCATCAGAGACAACGACTGCCAATCCCACCGATGCAACAACCAAGCCGACGACTCTGAAACCATCAGATACATCGACTGCCAAACCCACAGATGCAACAACCAAGCCGACGACTCTGAAACCATCAGAGACAACGACTGCCAAGCTCACAGATGCAACAACCAAGCCGACGACTCTGAAGCCATCAGAGACAACGACTGCCAAACCCACAGATGCAACAACCAAGCCGACGACTCTGAAACCATCAGAGACAACGACTGCTAAGCCTACAGATGCAACAACCAAGCCGACGACTCTGAAACCATCAGAGACAACGACTGCCAAACCCACAGATGCAACAACCAAGCCGACGACTCTGAAGCCATCAGAGACAACGACTGCTAAGACTACAGATGCAACAACCAAGCCGACGACTCTGAAACCATCAGAGACAACGACTGCCAAACCCACAGATGCAACAACCAAGCCGACGACTCTGAAACCATCAGAGACAACGACTGCCAATCCCACAGATGCAACAACCAAGCCGACGACTCTGAAACCATCAGAGACAACGACTGCCAAACCAACAGATGCAACAACCAAGCCGACGACTCTGAAACCATCAGAGACAACGACTGCCAATCCCACCGATGCAACAACCAAGCCGACGACTCTGAAACCATCAGAGACAACGACTGCTAAGCCTACAGATGCAACAACCAAGCCGACGACTCTGAAACCATCAGAGACAACGACTGCCAAACCCACAGATGCAACAACCAAGCCGACGACTCTGATGCCATCAGAGACAACGATTGCCAAACCCACAGATGCAACAACCAAGCCGACGACTCTGAAGCCATCAGAGACAACGACTGCCAATCCCACCGATGCAACAACCAAGCCGACGACTCTGAAACCATCAGATACATCGACTGCCAAACCCACAGATGCAACAACCAAGCCGACGACTCTGAAACCATCAGAGACAACGACTGCCAAACCCACAGATGCAACAACCATGCCGACGACTCTGAAACCATCAGAGACAACGACTGCCAAACCCACAGATGCAACAACCAAGCCGACGTCTCTGAAACCATCAGAGACAACGACTGCTAAGCCTACAGATGCAACAACCAAGCCGACGACTCTGAAACCATCAGAGACAACGACTGCCAAACCCACAGATGCAACAACCAAGCCGACGACTCTGAAGCCATCAGAGACAACGACTGCCAAACCCACAGATGCAACAACCAAGCCGACGACTCTGAAACCATCAGAGACAACGACTGCCAAACCCACAGATGCAACAACCAAGCCGACGACTCTGAAACCATCAGAGACAACGACTGCCAATCCCACCGATGCAACAACCAAGCCGACGACTCTGAAACCATCAGATACAACGACTGCCAAACCCACAGATGCAACAACCAAGCCGACGACTCTGAAACCATCAGAGACAACGACTGCCAAACCCACAGATGCAACAACCAAGCCGACGACTCTGAAACCATCAGAGACAACGACTGCCAAACCCACAGATGCAACAACCAAGCCGACGACTCTGAAACCATCAGAGACAACGACTGCTAAGCCTACAGATGCAACAACCAAGCCGACGACTCTGAAACCATCAGAGACAACGACTGCCAAACCCACAGATGCAACAACCAAGCCGACGACTCTGAAGCCATCAGAGACAACGACTGCCAAACCCACAGATGCAACAACCAAGCCGACGACTCTGAAACCATCAGAGACAACGACTGCCAAACCCACAGATGCAACAACCAAGCCGACGACTCTGAAACCATCAGAGACAACAACTGCCAAACCCACAGATGCAACAACCAAGCCGACGACTCTGAAACCATCAGAGACAACGACTGCTAAGCCTACAGATGCAACAACCAAGCCGACGACTCTGAAACCATCAGAGACAACGACTGCTAAGGCTACAGATGCAACAACCAAGCCGACGACTCTGAAACCATCAGAGACAACGACTGCCAAACCCACAGATGCAACAACCAAGCCGACGACTCTGAAACCATCAGAGACAACGACTGCCAAACCCACAGATGCAACAACCAAGCCGACGACTCTTAAGCCATCAGAGACAACGACTACCAAACCCACAGATGCAACAACCAAGCCGACGACTCTGAAACCATCAGAGACAACGACTGCCAAACCCACAGATGCAACAACCAAGCCGACGACTCTGAAACCATCAGAGACAACGACTGCCAATCCCACCGATGCAACAACCAAGCCGACGACTCTGAAACCATCAGATACAACGACTGCCAAACCCACAGATGCAACAACCAAGCCGACGACTCTGAAACCATCAGAGACAACGACTGCCAAACCCACAGATGCAACAACCAAGCCGACGACTCTGAAACCATCAGAGACAACGACTGCCAAACCCACAGATACAACAACCAAGCCGACGACTCTGAAACCATCAGAGACAACGACTGCTAAGCCTACAGATGCAACAACCAAGCCGACGACTCTGAAACCATCAGAGACAACGACTGCCAAACCCACAGATGCAACAACCAAGCCGACGACTCTGAAACCATCAGAGACAACGACTGCTAAGCCTACAGATGCAACAACCAAGCCGACGACTCTGAAACCATCAGAGACAACGACTGCTAAGGCTACAGATGCAACAACCAAGCCGACGACTCTGAAACCATCAGAGACAACGACTGCCAAACCCACAGATGCAACAACCAAGCCGACGACTCTGAAACCATCAGAGACAACGACTGCCAAACCCACAGATGCAACAACCAAGCCGACGACTGCCAAACCCACAGATACAACAACCAAGCCGACGACTCTGAAACCATCAGAGACAACGACTGCTAAGCCTACAGATGCAACAACCAAGCCGACGACTCTGAAACCATCAGAGACAACGACTGCCAAACCCACAGATGCAACAACCAAGCCGACGACTCTGAAACCATCAGAGACAACGACTGCTAAGCCTACAGATGCAACAACCAAGCCGACGACTCTGAAACCATCAGAGACAACGACTGCCAAACCCACAGATGCAACAACCAAGCCGACGACTCTGAAACCATCAGAGACAACGACTGCCAAACCCACAGATGCAACAACCAAGCCGACGACTCTGAAACCATCAGAGACAACGACTGCCAAACCCACAGATGCAACAACCAAGCCGACGACTCTGAAACCATCAGAGACAACGACTGCCAAACCCACCGATGCAACAACCAAGCCGACGACTCTGAAACCATCAGATACAACGACTGCTAAACCCACAGATGCAACAACAAAGCCGACGACTCTGAAACCATCAGAGACAACGACTGCTAAGCCTACAGATGCAACAACCAAGCCGACGACTCTGAAACCATCAGATACAACGACTGCCAAACCCACAGATGCAACAACCAAGCCGACGACTCTGAAACCATCAGAGACAACGACTGCCAAACCCACAGATGCAACAACCAAGCCGACGACTCTGAAACCATCAGATACAACGACTGCCAAACCCACAGATGCAACAACCAAGCCGACGACTCTGAAACCATCAGAGACAACGACTGCCAATCCCACCGATGCAACAACCAAGCCGACGACTCTGAAACCATCAGATACAACGACTGCCAAACCCACAGATGCAACAACCAAGCCGACGACTCTGAAACCATCAGAGACAACGACTGCCAAACCCACAGATGCAACAACCAAGCCGACGACTCTGAAACCATCAGAGACAACGACTGCCAAACCCACAGATACAACAACCAAGCCGACGACTCTGAAACCATCAGAGACAACGACTGCTAAGCCTACAGATGCAACAACCAAGCCGACGACTCTGAAACCATCAGAGACAACGACTGCCAAACCCACAGATGCAACAACCAAGCCGACGACTCTGAAACCATCAGAGACAACGACTGCTAAGCCTACAGATGCAACAACCAAGCCGACGACTCTGAAACCATCAGAGACAACGACTGCCAAACCCACAGATGCAACAACCAAGCCGACGACTCTGAAACCATCAGAGACAACGACTGCCAAACCCACAGATGCAACAACCAAGCCGACGACTCTGAAACCATCAGAGACAACGACTGCCAAACCCACAGATGCAACAACCAAGCCGACGACTCTGAAACCATCAGAGACAACGACTGCCAAACCCACCGATGCAACAACCAAGCCGACGACTCTGAAACCATCAGATACAACGACTGCTAAACCCACAGATGCAACAACAAAGCCGACGACTCTGAAACCATCAGAGACAACGACTGCTAAGCCTACAGATGCAACAACCAAGCCGACGACTCTGAAACCATCAGATACAACGACTGCCAAACCCACAGATGCAACAACCAAGCCGACGACTCTGAAACCATCAGAGACAACGACTGCCAAACCCACAGATGCAACAACCAAGCCGACGACTCTGAAACCATCAGATACAACGACTGCCAAACCCACAGATGCAACAACCAAGCCGACGACTCTGAAACCATCAGAGCCAACGACTGCCAAACCCACAGATGCAACAACCAAGCCGACGACTCTTAAACCATCAGAGACAACGACTGCTAAACCCACAGATGCAACAACCAAGCCGACGACTCTGAAACCATCAGAGACAACGACTGCTAAGACTACAGATGCAACAACCAAGCCGACGACTCTGAAGCCATCAGAGACAACGACTGCCAAACCCACAGATGCAACAACCAAGCCGACGACTCTGAAACCATCAGAGACAACGACTGCCAAACCCACAGATGCAACAACCAAGCCGACGACTCTGAAACCATCAGAGACAACGACTGCCAAACCCACAGATGCAACAACCAAGCCGACGACTCTGAAACCATCAGAGACAACGACTGCTAAGCCTACAGATGCAACAACCAAGCCGACGACTCTGAAACCATCAGAGACAACGACTGCCAAACCCACAGATGCAACAACCAAGCCGACGACTCTGAAACCATCAGAGACAACGACTGCCAAACCCACCGATGCAACAACCAAGCCGACGACTCTGAAACCATCAGATACAACGACTGCCAAACCCACAGATGCAACAACCAAGCCGACGACTCTGAAACCATCAGAGACAACGACTGCTAAGACTACAGATGCAACAACCAAGCCGACGACTCTGAAGCCATCAGAGACATCGACTGCCAAACCCACAGATGCAACAACCAAGCCGACGACTCTGAAACCATTAAAGACATCGACTGCCAAACCCACAGATGCAACAACCAAGCCGACGACTCTGAAACCATCGGAGACAACGACTGTTAAGCCCACAGATGAAACAACCAAGCCGACGACTCTGAAACCATCAAAGACAACGACTGCCAAACCCACAGATGCAACAACTAAGCCGACGACTCTGAAACCATCAGAGACAACGACTGCTAAGCCCACAGATGAAACAAGCAAGGCGACGACTCTGAAACCATCAGAGACAACGACTGCCAAACCCACAGATGCAACAACCAAGCCGACGACTCTGAAACCATCAGATACAACGACTGCCAAACCCACAGATGCAACAACCAAGCCGACGACTCTGAAACCATCAGAGACAACGACTGCTAAGACTACAGATGCAACAACCAAGCCGACGACTCTGAAGCCATCAGAGACAACGACTGCCAAACCCACAGATGCAACAACCAAGCCGACGACTCTGAAACCATCAGAGACAACGACTGATAAGCCCACAGATGCAACAACCAAGCCGACGACTCTGAAACCATTAAAGACATCGACTGCCAAACCCACAGATGCAACAACCAAGCCGACGACTCTGAAACCATCGGAGACAACGACTGTTAAGCCCACAGATGAAACAACCAAGCCGACGACTCTGAAACCATCAGAGACAACGACTGCCAAACCCACAGATGCAACAACCAAGCCGACGACTCTGAAACCATCAGATACAACGACTGCCAAACAAACAGATGCAACAACCAAGCCGACGACTCTGAAACCATCAGAGCCAACGACTGCCAAACCCACAGATGCAACAACCAAGCCGACGACTCTTAAACCATCAGAGACAACGACTGCTAAACCCACAGATGCAACAACCAAGCCGACGACTCTGAAACCATCAGAGACAACGACTGCTAAGACTACAGATGCAACAACCAAGCCGACGACTCTGAAGCCATCAGAGACAACGACTGCCAAACCCACAGATGCAACAACCAAGCCGACGACTCTGAAACCATCAGAGACAACGACTGCCAAACCCACAGATGCAACAACCAAGCCGACGACTCTGAAACCATCAGAGACAACGACTGCCAAACCCACAGATGCAACAACCAAGCCGACGACTCTGAAACCATCAGATACAACGACTGCCAAACAAACAGATGCAACAACCAAGCCGACGACTCTGAAACCATCAGAGACAACGACTGCTAAGCCCACAGATGAAACAACCAAGCCGACGACTCTGAAACCATCAAAGACAACGACTGCCAAACCCACAGATGCAACAACCAAGCCGACGACTCTGAAACCATCAGAGACAACGACTGCTAAGCCCACAGATGAAACAACCAAGCCGACGACTCTGAAACCATCAAAGACAACGACTGCCAAACCCACAGATGAAACAACCAAGCCGACGACTCTGAAACCATCAGAGACAACGACTGCTAAGCCCACAGATGAAACAACCAAGCCGACGACTCTGAAACCATCAAAGACAACGACTGCCAAACCCACAGATGCAATAACCAAGCCGACGACTCTGAAACCATCAGAGACAACGACTGCTAAGCCCACAGATGAAACAACCAAGCCGACGACTCTGAAACCATCAAAGACAACGACTGCCAAACCCACAGATGCAACAACCAAGCCGACGACTCTGAAACCATCAGAGACAACGACTGCTAAGCCCACAGATGAAACAACCAAGCCGACGACTCTGAAACCATCAGAGACAACGACTGCTAAGCCCACAGGGGAAACAACCAAGCCGACGACTCTGAAACCATCAAAGACAACGACTGCCAAACCCACAGATGCAACAACCAAGCCGACGACTCTGAAACCATCAGAGACAACGACTGCCAAACCCACAGATGCAACAACCAAGCCGACGACTCTGAAACCATCAGAGACAACGACTGCCAAACCCACAGATGCAACAACCAAGCCGACGACTCTGAAACCATTAAAGACATCGACTGCCAAACCCACAGATGCAACAACCAAGCCGACGACTCTGAAACCATCGGAGACAACGACTGTTAAGCCCACAGATGAAACAACCAAGCCGACGACTCTGAAACCATCAAAGACAACGACTGCCAAACCCACAGATGCAACAACTAAGCCGACGACTCTGAAACCATCAGAGACAAACGACTGCTAAGCCCACAGATGCAACAACCAAGCCGACGACTCTGAAACCATCAAAGACAACGACTGCCAAACCCACAGATGCAACAACCAAGCCGACGACTCTGAAACCATCAGAGACAACGACTGCTAAGCCCACAGATGCAACAACCAAGCCGACGACTCTGAAACCATCAGAGACAACGACTGCCAAACCCACAGATGCAACAACCAAGCCGACGACTCTGAAACCATCAGAGACAACGACTGCCAAACCCACAGATGCAACAACCAAGCCGACTCT